GGAACTTGCATTGTGATAACAGTTTTGGAAATTCAAAAGTAATGCAACGTGTTGAAATAAGAAGTACTTAATATTGTCAAAAAACTTGTGATTGTCTTGCCATCAATAAAATAATAACATAGATGTGTTAAATTACAGGCAAAAATAGCCCACAGGACTATGTGCACCATTTCTCCCTCCACACACTTAACTTGCACGGGTGTGCACGCCACATGGCACACCCCCCAGTGGTGCTTGTTGGAAGAACGCTAACTTACCTCGTGAGAGTTTATAGGAGTTGGTGCCACGGCATCCGGCCTGGACGGCAGTGAGGGCCATTGCCTGTGGCATCTGGGACAGCCTCATTTGCAGGGATCTGCACTGGGTCTCAGTGAACGAATGTGCGGTGGATTTTTATTTTCTTGGTACTAAAGAGTAGCTTTTCTTAAAACATTCCTATAAGAAAAATGTAGAAACTCGGTTTCCTCCTCATATGCACTCATGCCCAAGGCACCATGAGCTCTTTATTCTCCCCCAGCCTACAGGAGCAGTCGGGGCACGAGAGTTGTCGTTCGGCTGCTGTGGCCTCCGCGAGCCCGCCTTTCCCGGCCCGTGCACAACATCCCGTTTTGAGTCAGGCTTTCCCCAGCCCTGTGGGCCTCTGCCAGTGAGTGCGGTCGCCTCACCTTGTCTGCATCTTGGTGGTGCCGTCCCGTTCGATGACCCTTCTTTCCTCAGGCCCGATTCGCTCCCCTGATTTCCTGGTGTGTCAGGGCAGCCAGACCTCTTGCGCAGAAGTGCATTGGTTCTTTGGTTCTCATTTTGAGCCGGTGCCATCCCTGTCCTCTTGCTCGTAGGTAGGATCTTGACTCAGAGAGTTAAGGTTCAATAATAAAAAGGTCAGGTTCCCTTGAAGACGTTGGGAAATTGCTGTGGCGTCCCCAGTGACTGTGACGGCTTTGCAGGATCCAGATGGCCTAGCACAAAGCAAAGTGGAGGAATCCTCCCAGGACACGATCTCAAAGACTAGCCCTGACTTGGGAGATGAGCAGGGTCATCTTTAGGCCTGTTTTACTTTGGGAAAGAAAAGCTGTCAGTAAAGCTGCTGTTTTGCCGGTGCTGGAAAATTGAGCATAAGATGGAAAAAAATCACATAGCGCGTTTTTAATGCACACTCACTGGAACGAAAGTGTGATGGAAACACCTTGAATGCCGTGTAGTCCGAGGTGAGCGGCTGTGTAGTCCGAGGTGAGCACGCTTAGCACCAGCTTCTTCTGGTTGGAGGCCTCCCTGCTGTCACTGTCACTGCCCCCTTCCTGTCAGCGTCCCCAAACATTCTGTGCTGTTCCCAGGTCCATGGAGCAATGGCCAGGTCAGTTCAAGTGTCCCAGGAAACAGAAAGGATTGCACTGGTGGTAGCTCAGGATGCAGACACAGCTTGAGGGCAACGTCTCTGTCCTCCTGGTGGCCAGCCAGTGCTGGGAGCCCCTGCCCTCAAGCACCAGGTGTGACAGTAATGGCACCGCTGGCTTCGGTGTCCTTCAGGCAGAGCAGCCTCATTCCTTCACACAGTGGAAGGTAGGTGAGGACGTCAGGATGCGAGAACAGGTGGCTGCAGACTGTGAGGTGTGTCTGAGCCACGTGAGGGGCAGCTAAACAGAAGTGTGTCTGCATCGACCAAGTAGAGTTGTATGCTCACTAGTTTCCAAACTACCTCTTCCCCAAGAATGTGAGGCATTGTCACCTGGCTGCAGCAGTGAGGTGGAGTTCTCATAACCGTTTCACAGGCAGGAAAAGCAAGACAGAAGGGTGGCCTAGTCACCCAGCAAGTCAGAAGCGGTCAGAACCAAGATGTTTCCATCTTCACCCATCACTGGCCTGTGTGTACAACTGTGACTGTGCACTTGCACATGAAGGGCTGCTGTGCACGGTGTCAGACCATCTCTGCTCTGGTTAGGATGTGAGGTTCTGCTCAGCGTGTCTGAGTGAGCCAGGGAAGAACCACCTCCGTTTCAGGCTCCTCCACGGCCAAGGAGGGCCAGCGCCCAGGCCCACTCTGATTGTTGTGAGCACCCACAGACCAGGGCACCCTTTGAATTTGTTTGAATTGAACTGTTTAGGTGTTCCAGACCCGTGTGGGTGACGCAGTGGGGTTTGGACGCTTCCTTCCTGTGGGAAGCCTCCAGACATCGAAGGCCAGTCCTATCACGTGGTGTGTCACCGTCTCCCCTCCCTTTCCCTCACCTGCACCCATGAAGTGACTAGCTGTGGGGAGCACAGAAGGTGGCATTTCCATCTCTTACTGGCTCAGCAGGCACAAATGGCCACATTGACTTTACATAAAACTGTGTAAAATGTGGAAGACTCAGCATGTTGATCAAACAATAAACTGTCCTAATTCTCAACACAAAGCTTCTTGTCTACCATTTCTGTGTGGTGCCATCATATATGGGTGTGGGGAGAGAAGTTCAAGTGCATGCCCCACAAAGACCCTCCTATGTGTATGTATCCACCATGCAAAGCCTTTAGCTTCTTCCTTCTACTCACCTGGGCTCTCCACCATCTCAGAGGGGGCAAAGGTAGAATACACTCATTTTTCCATAATCTCCATTCTGCCTAAAGGCTGGACAGGGAACCTCCAGGCAGAACTGAGACTCTCAGAGGTGTGATTTCTTCCGTCATCCCTGCTCTCCGTGTGCCCTGGCTGGGGGTGGTTGAAGGGTGGGTGCAGGGACTAGGCCTTTCTTCCTTCTGGGAAGTTCCAGGAAGCCATTTAAGGGCAAGAATTTCACAGGAGCCATAATCAACCTTTCAGGTGACACCAAGCTGCCACATATCACCTCCCAGGTCACCCCACACCAACAAGAGAACATTTCTGAGAGGCCCCTTTCAGGTCTCAGTCATCATCTGACCGAAAGATGCCCCAAAGGCCGGGAGAGTTGTGGGGTTGATCCGAAGAGAACACAAAGGCCATCATCAAGCACAGAAGTGCCCTGACTGTGAGCCCTAGGAATCCTGAGGTCGTGAAGCCAAGTTCACCAGGTCTCATTCTTTTTCAAGTTCCACTCCACTATTGTGTTTTCCCTTTAAAGGTTCTAAAATTTGTGGAATGCCCTCCAAAATGCCACCTCAAAGGAGCCATCTCTAATTATGAGGGACAGGAAATAGTGTCCTGCTCAGTAAGCCTGACTTTTACTAGCTTCCAGAGGTAAAATGTGAGGTTGGAAGAGGTATGGAGGGTGGAAAAAGGCCAGAGAGCCAGAGTGTGCTTGCTGGTATGGGCCAAATGAAAGCCGGAGTAAAGCTGTTACAGAAATTCAGGGTGAACCATAAATGCCCCAAGATTTCGGTTATGCAGGGCAATGTGACTTCAGACAGTGAAGGAATGAATGACCTCCCTGACAAGGCTGTTACACACATGACTGTCTAGCAACTTTAGTGGTCCCATGCTAACCTCTAATTTTTTTTAAAAAGCCTCATTCGGTTGAAACAAAATGGTAAGTCAACACAACATCAGGTGCCTCACGCTAACAGGACCACAGGGAGACACAGCCACAGGCAGAAGGGGCAGCCCTATCAGGGCTGCACGGCAGGCAGGGCCGCGGAGAACACAGGATACCGGGAGCAGAGGCGAGGGCAGCACCGATGCGGTTGACAGCGGGGCCCATGCAGTGCTCAGGGGTCCTGCTCAGTGGTCCCTGAGCCACGATGGAGGTCACGCCGATGAGATGAGGGACGAGGGGGAGCCACACCGGAAGGGCACGTTTCCTTCCGCCTCAGGAGGGGACGGTGCCCCTGGAGCAGCAGGGACTGGGCTGTGCTCCGTATTCCTAGGGCCTGGCACAATGCTTGGCTTTTTCGGAATGAACGAATGCCATACAAAGCCCTGTGAGCAATCGAAAATGTAACGCTTCACAGTTTAAAAGTGGTATTACTTTACTGCACAAAAGCCAGGGTAGTAACCACCTTTCTTTAAATATGTGAGGGGCTGACAGAAGAGGTAAGCATTTTAATATCCTTCAGGTGAAAATGGGCATAAACTAATTGAAGCTTTGGTAATTCTGTGCTAAACTCAAATCTTAAAAGCAACAGTGTAACTAACATTCTGGCTGAAATCTCAAGACAACAGGCCATGGCCAAGTTTCCTCCCATAGGGGACCCAGTTAGCAGCAGCAGCAGCAAGCCATTTTTACTCATGAGAGCACCTGCTATGATTATGTGAACACGTCACGCCCATCACATAACTCTTTGAATTCTCGTTCACTGTTCTTACCGACTTCCGTAAATCATACCTGGTGAGTCTAAGAACGAGCAAGATGTAGGAGTACCAAGGGTGATGAGAACACTGGTAGAATGAGGCATTCAAAAAAGAATGCTGCCAGGGTTGAGGCCTGACGTCTTCCCAATTTCAGTTTGCATTTACTTCATACATCGGCAGTAAGGTGTGGGATAGAGTCTGGGGGCCAGGGCAGGAGGGGCGCTGAAGACCCTGTTAGAGTGGCCCTCAGGAAGGGTGCCAACAGGCAGGCGCACGGCCTGCGGTGTGCACGCGGATTGTACTCAGGGGACATTATCAGCTCCACACTTTTATTCTTTGACTGTCCCTGGTCCCTCAAGGCTAGGCAGGTGCCCTGCTGCATACTCCCAGAGCACCCTGTACCTCTCCTGTTAGAGTTCTTGCCACACTGTTCTGGAACTATCTTTCCACTTACCTGCAGCCACCCTTGTCTCCTTTGAGGCTTTAGTTGGGCTCATACCTGAGTGTCTGAAGCAGGGATAGTTTGTTCTTGTATATACTGCGATCTTTAGGACCTGGAAACTTAAGAGTTGGGCCTGAATCCTAACACACACTCCCATTTGTACTCACTGTACTGTTCTATTAATTGCTTTGAGCCAGACAGGCTGTTTCATTTACTGAGACGTGTTAATCATTTATAAAAACCATGCATTTAAGAAGACAGCAAAGAATATCACTTTGAAAGGAAAACTTTTTAAACTAGTGAATGTGTAAATTAAAGATCTACACACAACTTTTTTCATTTTATATTTGTTGCACAGCATTCTAGCTAAGTACAAAATAGGAGCTGATCAAGCAGCACATGAACGTGACATAGGAGCTCTCAGCCACCCAGAAAACCAGAACAGCTTCTGCATCTCCATATTCCCTCTGGTTAGGGGAAACCACCAGAGCACACTAGACCCCTAGCACTTGGAGATTTAGCACTTACAGTCCTATCATCTGGGAATGATTCATTTCAAGGGTTCATGACAAGTTCGCCAAACTCAAGTGCTATGAGGCTGGACTGTGGACAAGTCACTGAGCTGATGAAGAACAGACCCCATGGCAACAGAGCCTTGCTGTCTTCTACTTGTTGTCCTATGTTGAGAGCCCACATTGTAATTGTACCTACAAATCTGAGAATTCACAATGGACTAGATGGTGTACTGTCCGTGAACTTCAAGAGTAACTGGAAATGAACTGGTTCCATACACAGACAGGTTTGTTTCCAGGAAAAAGGGACCAAAGCACAAGATAAGAGAACCTCCCAGGTGATTATCATTCCTCAGGATAACGTCTTCCCTGTGTGGAGTCCGACTGTCACGGTCACGAGGACCTTGGCCGACATCAAGGAGACACTAAAGGGATGTCACTTACACTTTAACAAAGGGAAGGCACCAGTCAAATAAAAGTGACAAGTTTGAAAACAATAAGAGGAACTGAACTTAAAAATTCCAAGCTGGATTCAACAATTTGTTTCCAGAACAAGGAAATGTTTCTAACCACACCCTTTTCCAAAACTGACAGTCACCACATGAATGTTTACAGCTTGGGGTTGGGACCTGACTCTCAGGCGATTTTAGCCAGCCACTTCTCCAAGTCCTGGACGTCAGCAGAGCCAGCGTCCCCTCTGCCACCCTTGGCACTGCACTCCAGGAACTCCACTCTGAGGGGAAGCTGTGCGAATTCAAAGTCTTTGCCTTTCTTTCCCAGATGAGCCTGAGCCGCCGCGCTGGAGCTGTCCAGTGTGCTGGGGGCGGCAGAGCGGGTGACCCGCAGGGTGTTGCTGTGGGGAGGAGGAGGACGGTCAGCGAGCAGAACGTGTTCCTTTTTAATACCACAATGAGAGGACTTTAGGAAATCAAGTCATTTCCTGAAGGTTTCAGCACTCATTTAAACACCCAATCATAAAACTGTCAATTACTCAATTATGACTGTGGAATAATCCTGTGCATTTACACATCACTCTTGGACAAAAAGGTAAGATGAGGGTCCAACTTACACACTAGACAACAGCAGGAAAGGGCCTGGGCCATACCAACCTTCTTTCAGCCCAGGGTCCCAGAGTGTCCTTCCACAAGGATCTCCTGCTTCATGCCATTTTAAAATATGTACATATATTTTAAATTTATGCTATGAGTGTTATAAAAACAAGTTTCTGAAATTTAAATGTGTGTAAAGTATTTATATTTATATGGAGTCTTTTGGATATAGAGCTTAGAAATCCACAAATTCCACATTCTCATATCCTACCCTTTTGGGCACAATGACTATTCTCCAACCTCTTTAACCACTAGAACTCTGGCAATTTAAGTCACCTTACTGCCACCTGCTGGCACTAATAAACAATGAGTAATCTCTACTCGGACTCCTTCTGCCCCCCACAGGCAGAGGAATTCATGCCCTTTTGAGAAGAGTACATACATAGGACCTAAAACTTTTGGGAAGGAACACTTAAGCAGGGTGGTGGATTTCATGGGTGTTTTAGTATTCTTTAAATTCAATATATGTGTCATATATATTCCTTTATATGTATCTTATAATTAAAAAAAAACATTACATGTATTCAGCTCTTGCCATAAGGCCATGAAACACAGTAAACCTTGTTATTCAGAAGACTGAAACGTTCAAAGCTGACAGAGCTGAATTCTCACTAACACAGGGTTAAACTAAAGTCACACTCCCAATTTAACTGATACTAATCTTTACAACTTCTTAATATTCCTTCACTGCATTACAACACAGCATTTCCTATATTGTTTTTCTATGGTTCTTTAGAGCGAAAAGCAAAAAGACTAAGGAAAACTTGTGTTTTAAACATGGGAAGACCTGGACTATGCTGTTAAAAAAAGAGAGAGAATACACAAATAATATGATTGCTTTTTCCAAAGGTAATTTCCAACAATTACAACAGAATATTTAGGAACAACAAATCATGTTTCAATTTCCTTAGCCTGATGAGAAACACAATACAGTCTCAAAAGAGTGAGCATCAAACAGTACGGGAAGAGATGGTTAATAAGCAATTTCCGAAGGGAGAAAAACCATTGAAAGTGACATCAGCAAGATGGCAGAAGAGCAGTTCCAGCACAACTCCTCTCACGGAAACATCAATTTGAATAACCATCCATGCATGAAAATACCTTCTGAGAGCTCAGGAATCCAGGTCAGAGCACCTGGGTATAGCACAGAAATAAAAGATGCATTGGAGAGGGTGGAAGGGAGTCTTGCATGACTGAGATTACTGCTGCAAGCTTGCCCAGGGTGGCATGGAGAGATGTACTCCATGAGGGGTGAAGAGAGTGAAGTGAGTACCACTGTGCTGTGGAACCCAGCACTAGGCTGGCCCCTGTTGCCCCAGGCCCCCTCCTCTGGATCCAGGCTCCAGGCCTACTGCAGTGGATCTCTGCACAGGCCAGCTCCAGCAGACCGAAGTGCCTGGCTGGACATGAGAGATCCAGGCTACAGGTCTGCCCAAGTGGACCCTGGTGTGAGGCCCACTCCCCATCACCCATGGACCCTGGTGCCAGGCCATCCTGCCCAAAGACTCGGGCAGCAAGCCCACCCAAAATCTCTGGTTGGACTGACTACCAGAGATTTGGTTGGACTGCCCTTCCAACCAATCTCTGGTTGGAAGGGCATTCTCTTACAAAGCCAGTCAGTAGGGACTAGAAGTACATACGTTTTCAAATGTGCAGGCACTGATTTAAGAACACAAAGATCATGAATAATCAGGGAAATGTGACACCAGCAAAGAAACAACATAAAGCACTAGTAACTGACCCTGAAGAAATGGAGATCTACAAACTGCCTGAGAAAGAATTCAAAAAAGACACTGAAAGTTCAGGGAGCTGCAAAAGAACACAGACAAGGCAACAAAATGAAGAAAATAATATATGAGCAAACTAAGAAGTTAAACAGAAAGAGAAATCATTAAAAAAATCCTGAAACTGAAGAACACAATGGCTGATGTAGAAAAAACCAGAACTTCAACAGCAGGCTTGATCAACCAGAAGCAAAAGACTCAGAGAGTGTGAAGACAGATGATTTGAAATCACCCAACGAGCAGATCAAGAAGAAGAATGAAGAAAGCCCACATAACTTATGCGACATTACTATGGGAGACCCAGCAAGAACAGAGAAAGACAAAGAAGCTACAAACTTATTTTAAAAATGACAACAGCCTTGGCTGGGTGGCTGGGTTGGTTGGAGCATCATCCCATACATGAAAAAGATTGCAGATTTGATTCCCAGTCAAGGCACATACCTAGGTATACGTAGGTTGCAGGTTAGATCCCCAGTTGGGGTGTGTATGGAAGGTAACCAATCAATGTTTCTCTCACATCCATGTTTCTTTCTCTCCCTCTCTCAAATCAATAAACATATCCTCCGGTGAAGATTAAAAAAAGAAAGAATAACAGAAAACCTCAAATCTGGGAGGGAAGCCCAAAGAATTGTGAATAGATTAAAGAGAGCTTCACAGAGACGTGTTATAATTAAACCGACAGAAGTCAAAGACAAAGAATTTTGAAAGCAGCAAGACAAAAGCCAATTGTCACAAAGGAAATCACATAAGACTAAAAGCCTGCAGACCAAGAGTGGGATGATATATATTCAAAATGCTAAAAGGAAAAAAAAACTGGCAACCAAGAATATTATACTCAGTAAAGCTGTCTTTAGATATTAACCAACAGAACTTATTCACACTTACAGTTCTTTCTCAAGTTGCTGCTGAATTATCTTCGCCGATTTTGCCATTGTAATGTCTGTAGAGAAATGAAGACACTGTTGAATTTAAACCAGAAAGGCTCTTTTCCCAAGGCTTCTTGTACATATGGAAAAGGCCTATTTAAAGCAATAAATGTCTGCTCCCCACACCTTTACTTTTTAAAAATGTTTTTTATTCCTAATAGCTTCATTACCAAAGTAAACTTTACATTTGGTTGTATGGGTTTTTCTATAATGCTTACAAATATATTAAGCCGGTGACTGTAAAATTGACTAGCTCCTTTGTGGAAGTTTTCCACACCTTACAGATCTTTTAAAACAATATATAAGTCCAGCTGGTGTAAAAAAAAAATCTTCCAGCTTTGTGATTTTAACAAGAACCTTCACTGCAACATAAATACGCTGCCATATAAAAGTAAACTAAGCATATTCCCAATTGATATTAAAATGGTATGTTACAGCACCAAGTGCATACAAAGAAACAAGCACTAGTTTGGCACACAGCTGATATTAACTCCTCTTGTTCACGTAATGATCCTAACAGTTATTCCTAATTAGGCATTATTAGATTTATTACCTGATCACTTCTGAGAAATGTGTTGGGCTCTTTACAGATTCAGAATTTTATATCTGAAAGAGGCCTATAAAGATCCACTAGTCTATCTTATTTTAGAAGTAATGAAACTGAAGCCTAGTTTTATTGGGTGTGACTAAAAGGTTTTTAATAGTTATCAGGTCTCCTTGATGAAATGCCCTGGATGGTAAACTTCTTTTAAAGGAGAGACTCCACCTGTCCCTCCACAACTGACTATTTGGCATGGCATACTGTCTATCTGATAAACTTAACTAGGTAACGTAAGATGATTTATAATTAAAGTAAGAAAAACAGTATGTCAAAGAATAATTGATAATAGTCACTCCTTTGTCATTCCTTAGAATAGCCTGGTAAGTAGACTAATAAAAATGCAGGAGTATAAATAAATTTGAAGAATTAAAATCCTTCCATTTATATAGCTCATTAGCAATTGTCTTTCATCCTGAATAACAGTTTTAGATAGCTGGATTAAGCAGTCTCAGAAAAATCTCAATAATTACTGCCAGAAAATATGATGGTACCTTGCTTGTTGCAGGCAATTAAGAATGATGGTGTGTTCTTCAGACCCATGCTGTCAATCAGGACTTGATACAGAAACTCGGCCACGTCTTTCACCTCTCGCTGGAAGGCTGCACTGTCCACAACGAACACAACAGCCCTTGTGGGGTGGGGGGAGAAAAACCAACATGTGAGCATGCAACAGTGCGGCATTATACAAGAAAAATTTTTTTGAGAAATTTTTTGAGAAAAAGCCCAACGATAGAATTCTATACCTTGTGAAATGTATGGCATGACCTAAAATCAATAATCTAAGCTTCTACCTTAGGAAGCTGGAACAATTAAGAGCAAATTAAATTTAAAGTATGCAGAAAAAAAGAAATAAAAGAGCAGAAGTCAATAAAACTGATAACTGGAAATCAACAGAGAGCACTAACACACAAAAGCTGGTTCTTTGAAAAAAAAAATCAATGCAATTAATAAACTTCTAACCAGGTTAAGAAAGAGAAGACACAAATTGCTAATATGAGAAATGAGAGGGAACATCAGTACAGATCCCAGGGACATTAAAGGATAATCAAGAAATACTGTGAACAACTCTACACTGACAAATTTGATAACCTAGGTAAAATGGCCCAATTCCTTAAAAGACACAATCTACCAAAACTGACACAAGAACTAAACAATCTGAATAGACCTATCTCTGTTAAAGAAACTGAATCAATAATTAAAAACCTTCCTAACAGAAAATACCAGGCACATAAGAGTTTACTGGTGAAGTCTAATAAACATTTAAGGAAGTTTACACAATGTTATATGTCAGACACATTCAATTAAAAAACTAAATAGACCAATTCTCTATAATTTCTTTAAAAAAACAAGCAGAGGGAGTACTTCCTAACCCATTCTATGAAGCCAGCATTACTGTAATACCAAAACCAGACAAAGCAATACCAAAACTACAGATGGACACCTCTCATGAGAAAAAATGTAAAAACCCTCAATAAAACAGAGACAGACTCCAACAATATATAAAAAGAATTACATACCACAATTAACAGGTTCTGCACCCATTTCCGATGTAGGAGAGGAGGGTTTCCACCACCACCAAGCACTGCTCCTGACAACAGCTATGCATCCTATAATTCAACTTGATTTTGACACCAGCTACCTAGAAATAGCTCAGGTTCCACAGGTTAAAGGCTCAGTCCCACAAGACTGCTCTTTACTTCAGATGTAAACACCTGTAACTCTGACCGACTGGCTAAAGAGGAGAGGTTCCCACCACCCCCCCACTGAGTTCAAGTAATGTGCTAGAGGAGACCTCACATGCCAGTCAGAAGTTGTTACCTGGACTTCTGACTCAGTGGCTCTAAATCGGATGCTCCCCCTCCTTGGATTTAAATAATTTCCTACAGTAGCTTACAGAACTCAGGAAACCAATTTACTCACTAAATTATTGGTTTAATACAAAGAATATTAAAAGACCTAATCAACAAGCATTTGAAGAGAGAAAAAGGATGAGGAACCAATCTGGTTCCCCAATTTGGAAGCTGTCTGAACCCCACCCTAGATGATCCTGAGTTTGGCTATGAATTTTAGACACAATACCAAAGGCATATCCATGAACAGAATCGATTAACTAGACTTCATTAAAGATTAAAAATTTTCTGCTTTAAAAAATCACCATCAAGAGAATAAGAAGATAAGCCACAGATGGGGAGAAAATATTTGCAAGAGTTCTATTTGATAAAAGACTGTTGTCTAAAATATATAAAGAACTCCTAGAACTCAACAGTAGGAAAACAACCCAATAAAAAATGGGTCAAAGATCTTTAATGACACGTCACCAAACGAAATATATAGGTAGCAAATAAGTATGTAAAAAGATACTCCACATCATGTCATCAGGGAAAATGCAAATTAAAACTAGATACCATTACATACCTGTTAGAGTGGCCAAAACCTAGGACCCTGACAATGCTAAATGCTGGTAAGAACACAAAGCAATAGAACTCTCGTTTGTTGCTGATGTAAATGCAAAGTGGTACAGCCACTCTGGAAGACAATTTGGCAATTTCTTACAAAACCAAACATTCTCTTATCACCATTCCACAACTGTGCTCCTTGGTATTTATCCAAATGCTTATGTCCACACAAAAAGCGGCACACAGATGTTTATGATAGCTTAATTCAGAATTGTCAAAACTTGAAAGCAATCAATATGTCCTTCAGTAGATGAATAAACAGATGAACTGCAGTACATCCAGACAAGGGCATATTAGCCAGCACCAAAAAGAAATGAGCTGTCAAGCAATTTAAAGGCGTGTAAGAAATTTGAATGCTTATTAGTACCTGAAAGAAGTCAATCTGAAAAGGCTATATAATTTATGGCTTTCTGGACAAGGCAAAACTATAGAGGGAGTGAAAAGAGTGGCCATCAAGGGTTAGGGGGGCGAGAGGGAAGAATTTGCAGAGCAAAGAGGATTCTTAGGGCAGTGAAGCTACTCTGTACTATAATGGTGAACACATGATGTTATACATTTGATCACATCTGTAGAATGTATAATAACCCAAGAGTGAAACCGAATGTAAAATACAGATTCTGATTATGACATGTCCATGAAGGTTCATCAGTTTTAACAAATGAAACAGTTGGTGGAGGACGGTGACAACGAGAGAGGCTATCCATGTGTGGGGGCAGGGGTGTATGGGAAGGTACAGGGGTATGTGGGAAATCTCTGTACCTTCTTTCGAATTTTGCTGTGAACCTAAAACTACTCTAAAAAATTGTTTTTTAAAATCACAACAGGGATTTTAAAAACACAACAGTTTTATCTGTGATAGATTGCTCAACACCACCATCTTGTGGGCATGGAAGCAACAACAAAATATAAGTCACATCTTCAAAAAATACCATATTTTTTGGACCATAAGATGTACCTCAGTTTTAGAGGAGAAAAACAGGAAAAAATTTTTGAAGCAAAAAATGTGGTAAAATATTTAATAACATAAATAACATAATAGTTCACCAATGGAAATATAAACAGAACTCAACAGCAGCATTAACAACCATTATTCTTCCCAAATGGGGGGGCGGGGGTGGGGGGTGCATCTTATAGTCCAAAAAATACAGGTTAAGTAAAAAAAAAAAACTATTTCCTCTTTCCATCAAACCTAAGATTCCATCAATTAAGACATTATTATTTCAAGAACTAAGAAAGAAAAAATACTGTGAATTAAACTATGACACCATCAATTTTAAGTAGCATGTCAATTTCATAGATCTTAAAAATCAGTGAAATCTTGTATATTGATTGTCCTCTTATGTTTTTATCAGGGCTTGAAACTAAAGAATAAAGCATCTTAACCTGGAGCACAGGAATGTCAGGAAATAAGAGTCAGTAACATTACGACAACACTAAAAGAAATATGAAAATACTGTTCTGTACTTCTGAGGCATCGATTTTAGATAATTTAAATATATAAATATATAATATTAGATTTTAATAACTTATAGGTTTCCACCTAGCTTTAGGAATTATTTTCAGATTAATAGTTCTATACATTGCTGAAACTTTCCTCAGAGTAAATGAAAACTTTACTAACATGATAAATAACAGTTAACACTTTCTGAACACTCTTTGAGAAACATGTCGAACGTTATCTCATATAATCCTCGCAAAATCCTAGTACACAGAGGCTTGCAACCTAGAACTGGCTGACCCTAGGTTTCATACTCTTTCCACTCCAGAACACCAGGCTGCTTCCCAAATACCATCAGAGCAAATATCATGGGTGGTCTTGATAGACAGACTTCAGACAAACTCGTTCCACTTCCTACTCACCGGGCTGAAGCCTTAAACCGCTCAAGGTACTGAAGTCTCAAGCTCTCATGGCCAGGGAGGTCGATCAAGGTCAGGCTACTGCCCTAAGGATGGCGGCAATAACATTAAATTAATGTTTCAGTCCTGATTCACAACACAAACCTTCTCTATCAGATTTCAGGCCAATTAATTAATCAAAAAATGTTCACTCTAATTAATTAATTAATTAATTAATTAATCAATCAAATGTTGACTAAGCATCTTCTATTTATGAATCATCAGTCAAGAAACAATGGGCAAAAACAGACACGGTCCTGGCTCTAACAGGGCTTGTAACATATCAGAAAGATCAACAATGTAAAATTACATATATGTAAGTGTGCAATTCCAACTTTGACAAATGTTCTGAGGGTAATGAGAAACTTGACCGTGTCTGAGGAAGTCAGGGAACTGTGGTCCATCTAAGACTAGGGAAATACGCTAGTATAAGAGCAAAAAACATGTGAAAAACAGTAATTAATATTCACACATTGAATTATATAAGACCCTATACTTTATCACACAACATATTACCATTATAGGGATGGATCCCCAATCTCTATAACAAAACATTCTTTTACATTTCCACCATATTTTAAATGGTGTGTCTACTAGTCACACCATTTGTTCCAGTTTTATCAATATTTTGTGTCAATTCTTGATTCAGATGACAATCATTAAAAGAGGGAAGGGTTATGCCCCTACTGAGCAGACTCATTAAGCATCTATTTAAATGCTATTCGTTCTAGGCCTTCATTCTTGAGCTCAGGTTCAATGTGGTTATGCTCAATGATAAGATTCTCAGATACAGCTCTGGCACGTGTATCATCAGACTCATGGATCATTTCCCAGATGCTCTACCTTATCCATAGCCAGTATTAACCACTGTTTAGCAGGAGGGAGTCCACATCGCTCAATTTGACATATACTTGGATTCATTATGGCCTGAGTCAATCTGTGCAGTCTTTTAGGGGTAAGAATGTGTACTAGCCTCTTTAAAAGAAATAGAGGTAAGAGCCTAGGGACCTCAGGTTGGGTCCCACTACCACATTTCATAATCAGCACTGCACCAAACACTAGAAATAATCCAGAAGATACATTACCAGATACATTACTACCCTAAGAGATAGAGACTAGATCTAAAACATAAGAGAAGTAAAAAAAGAAGGGAGGAACTTTTACATATTCAACAGAAATACGCAAGTCTCATTATGTAACGTTACATTTTCTGAAAATGGGGTGGGCTGGGATGGGATTAAAAGAAAACTGTACTTGAACAACAATTAAATTTTTTTAAAAGGCTTGTAAAAAAATTCTGAAAACTTTAAAAAAGTAAAAATAGGTAAAATTAATTTTAATAACATACAGGACAGGGCAAAAGTAGGTTTATAGTTGTTTTTATGGAAAATAATCCAATTATTAATAAATAATAATACAAAAATAAACTGTGTTTCACGTACTCATAACCATAAACCTACTTTTGCCCCACTCTGTATGTAAATTATCCTTTTAACATATAATAAGAAAATCAAGACATTATCAACATTTTACATTCTTTTTTTCATTCCAAGTCTTCAGTATCTGGTGTGTATTTTACACGTAAAGCACCCTTTGATTCGGACTAATCACGTTTCAAGATGCTCAACAGCCACAAGCGGCCAGCCAGTGGCAACTCTACTGTCTGAAGCATACCCTGGGATACCCCACTTAAAAAATCTGGTGCGAGTGTCCCCAAAATTAAACATCTCCTAAAACTGAAATTTCAAAATCTGAATCCTTGGGAATTTAAAAAGTTATGGGCCAAAAAGAGTATCGTTTGCGAAAAGAAACAAAAATATCTCTAAGACATTTAAAAGAATCTCTCTTTACTTTTTCTTAACAATGTAAAATTCTGGAAGCAAGAAGGGAAGAAGGTCTTTAAGATCATCATTCGAATTCATTCATCTAAACATCTCCCCCTCCACCCAGTCACCCACACTTCCTTCCACTCACTCACCAAGTATCTGTTAAGCACTGTAATTGGCCTGACAGTCACTATCAACATTATAGTGCTACACAGGCACACACAAAGTCCTCACAATTCCTTCTTGGTATTTTAAAAAATATACTCATGTATACTCTTTAAGAGATCCACTGCTACATTCATTGTATGCAAAAGAAAAAGATAACTACCAACTAAATGTCTGTTAATAGGGCTCTTATTAAATAAGAACTTAATTGTATGGTACATAATGGAATACTATGCAGCTCGTAAATCAACTAGGTGCAAATGAGAAAAAACAAACATCAAACACAAGCATACTGTTAAGTTAAAAAACATAAAAAAGGCAAAACAGAGTGTTAAAAGAAAAAATTTAAAGAACATACAGCTATGTTTGTATACGCATAGGCCATCTGAAAGGATACACACAGGAAAATGGAAGTTACTACCTCCAAGGAAAAGACTGGGTAGTAGGGATAGAAAAGGCAACATTACTTTTCACCAAATATTCTTTTTAACCTTTTGAATGTTTGTCCCACATACATGTATAACATATTCAAAACATAAAAGAAAAAGGCTTAATCCTCATCCTCAACACACAGAAACAAAAACTAATAAAATGTGTCCTGAGGTACTACCAAGCAGGGGAGGGCACAATTAAATGGATTGCCTGGATGGTCAAGAGCAGAATTTGTCACATTGGTCATATTTATCCATAGAAATAAACTACTCAGACTAATTTAGCTTAAAAATGTCCTTTCCTGGACTTCCGCCAAGATGGAGGCATAGGTAGAAGCACTTCGCCTTCTCACACAACCAAGTTTAAAAACAACAAAGTTTTAGCAACAATAATGCAGCCAAACCACAGAAAATTGAACTACACAGAAGTCTGACAACAACGAACCCTTCAGCCAAACCGGTAAGAGGAGCAGAGCCAGCAGCAGAGTGGGGTCGAGCAGGAAAGATCCACTGGACCCACCCAGGCACACAACCCAAGTGTGCCAACAGCCGTGGGCAGATCCCAGGTGTGGAGAAGTGGGTGGACCCACTGAGGGCGGACCGTGGTCACACATTTGCGTGGATATAAACCGGTGAAGGAGCTAGCGGTGGTGAGACTGACCGCGCAGGCCCCAGCAGCAGAAAGCGGCAGAGAGAACTGCCTTTGTCCCTCTCTGACCCCGCCCCCACATACAGCGTCACAAACCAGCAACCTGGGTGGCCCCACCCTGGTGAACAACTAAGGCACGTCTCCTCATATGTAACAGGCACAAACAGACCAAAACATGGCTCAAGAACAACTCGGAGCCTCAGAGCCAATAAATCTAAGCAAGGAAGAAACAGCCAAACTTTCAGAGGCACAGTTCAAAACACTGGTGATCAAGATGCTCACAGAACTGGTTGATTTAGTCACAAATTAGAGGAATATATGGAAGCTAAACTAATTGAAATGAAGGGAAATACACAGGAAACCAATAGTAATGGAAAGGAAACTGGGACTCAAATCAAGGGAGTAGACCAGAAGGAGGAAAAAAATGACCAAACAGAAAAGGATGAAGAAACAAGAATTCAAAAAAATGAGGAGAGGCTTAGGAACCCCCAGAACATCTTTAAACGTTCCAACATCCGAATTATAGGGGTACCAGAAGGGGAAGAGGAACAGCCATGAGTGAAAAACTTATTTGAACAAATAATAAAGGAGAACTTCCCCAATCTGGCAAAGGAAACAGACTTCCAGGAAATCCAGGAAGCTCAGAGAGTCCCAAAGAAGTTGGGTCCAAGAAGGAACACACCAAGGCACGTCATCATTACATTAGCCAAGATTAAAATGAAAGAGAGAATCCTAGAAGCAGCAAGAGATAAGGGGGCAGTCACCTACAAAGGAGTTCCCATCAGACTGTCAGAGGATTTCTCCAAAGAGACCTTACAGGCAAGAAGGGGCTGGAAAGAAGTGTTCCAACTCATGAAATCCAAAGACCTACATCCAAGATTGATCTATCCAGTAAAGCTTTCATTTAGAATGGAAGGGCAGATAAAATGCTTCTCAGATAAGATCAAATGCAAGGAGTTCATCATCACCAAGGCCTTATTATATGAAATGTTAAAGGGACTTATCTAAGAAAAAGAAGATAAAAAAGATGAACAGTGAAAGGACAGCAAACTCACAATTAACAACCGCACCTAAAACAAAAGCAAACTAAGAGGACAGCTAAATCAGGAGAACCATAGAAATGAAGATCACATGGAGGGTTAGCAACAGGGGAGTGGGAGAAGGATAAGGGGGGAGAAGGTACAGAAAATAAGTAGCACAGATGGTAGGTAGAAAATAGATAGGGGGGAGGGCAAGAATAGTATGGGAAATATAGAATCTAAAGAACTTGAGACATGTGGTCATAAACTAAAGGGGGAGAATGGTGGGGGAGGGAGTGTGCAGCGTGGAGGGGAATGAAGGGGGGAAATAGAACAACTGTAATGGCATAATTAATTAAATATATTTTTTAAAAATTAACCAAAAAAAAAAGTCCTTTCCTGACACACCAAAGTAAAGTAAAACTGTCAGGCTCCCAACATTCTAGAAGCCCCTTACCCTGGTATTCTTGACTTTGTACACAGCAGAGCTGTCGGTGATGGAAGTCTGGGTGTCTCTGTAAAGGCCTGTTAACAACTGTAAAGAAAACATGGGGAAGAGCAGAGTAAACACTGACACAGGCAAACCTTAAAAGAGTAATTTTGTTCTAATCCTCCTAGAGGCCAAATAAATTAATGTTGTTTGCAATAGATGAAAAAGACCATGTTCAGTTTTTTTCCCTTTACTTGTAGAAAAATCTAATTAATTGCAAACTTTATTCCCCTCTACCCAACTGAGAGGGGGAACTCCCCCTTTATTTTCAAATAACTGTTTCAAAAGGTTTGTGGCCAAATTTACCAACCTTCCAAAAACATTATTTACTTATTAAAGATAATTAAAGATTATCTTTCTTTAGTGAAAGGAAAATCTTTTATACTATCAAAATGAAGAATAATGAGAAACCCTCTGCCACTCTCCACAGCAAAAAGCCAAACATATAAAACTACACGGATTAAAATAAATGAGTGAAAAGAACCTAAGTAACCCAATGTGAAACAATCACCCTTTTAAAAATCATCTTTGACAGCCTATCAGGTGAGTATACAGCTATCAGTAGAGTATATTGCACAACGAATTATACACAACATACAAATCAAATCTTCTAACTTTTCTCCTGCTCTGGCCTCCTTCGCCACAGCATGAAAGTAGCTACATAAAACCTTTAGATGAGACAAGGACTAAATATCAGAATCTATCAAGTGCAAGAAAATAGAAAAGGCCAAAAAATTCCAGTTTATGAGTTTGCAAGAGTCTATTTATCCTCCCAAGAGAGTCAAGAATTAACTGTGCAATTTATCAGCATCAGTTTCTTTTCCAAAATAAATGATGACCACCTAAAATAATGGGATGCTCTAAGTTATCCTATCTAGCGTGAGAGAGATATAAATCAAAAGCATTTACTCTGACAAAGAGCAATGTCTTCCCGGAGTCACAAAGGCCAACAAGAAGTACAGCTCTTTGACTGCTCTTTCTGCTCCTGATGAACTTCCAGAACACTGTGGAATACAGAAAAAGAAATAAAATTATGCCTTATTAATAACAGTATGCGTGTATGGTTGCGGTGGGTAAATTAACATAAGTCTACCACAGAACACCGCAACCACCTGAAACTTGCTAAAAGCACTGTTACTACCACAATTGTTATTGTGACTGTTATTAAGGACCCCACTGAGTACCTGCCACTATCGAATGTCAACTTTTGGGTGAACCCCCTACCCCTAATGTGGACTCTTTTAAGAGCAATCTTGTCTATTGTCTTTGTATCCTCAGCGCCTAGCATGCAAACACAGGACGCTCCAACTTCAAGTAGAGTGCCCAAGAGTCTTGGTAGTAAACGCAACGTAAGGGGAAACCACGCACTTAACCTAAACAGAAGCTGAAGGAAGAGTAATTTGTGTCCCAAGGCCCAGAATACCACTTTGGGGGTCGCAGCGCTTCTCCCGCTGCTTCAGGCAAGAGGACAGAAGGTCAAAGGGGTGAGATTCTCTCAACAGACGCCCTCCAGCATCCTCCCGGCATCCTCCCAGTTCAGGCCCAACTCGCTCGCCCCGCACCCTCCATAACCACTCGCTGCCTCTTTACCCAGCGTCAGCAGCACCACCAGAAGCGCCACTACTACTGAGAGCACAGTCGGGTCCCTCTGCTGTAGCTCCTGCCGCAAGGAGTCTAGGTAAGGTTGGAAGGCGCCCCCGACACCACCACCATTCCCCAATCGCTGGGAGCCGGTGGAAGCCATGCTGAGTTCTGTAGTCTCCGGCGCCGTAGTAGCAACGTGTCCCTGCGCTCTGCGCAAACGTCTGAAGCGGAGCATCATGGGAGTGGTAGTTCCTGAGTTGTATTGTCTTCTCGTGGGCGGTGATCCCGAAGGGCCTGATGGGAGTTGTAGGGTTTTTTTGTAATATGGCGCCCTCTAACCGACCGGGAGGACAGACACCGACCGGGAGGACAGGGTTATGTCATGAGTGACACACTTATCCTTTAAGATATAAGTCATTGGTACCGCCCTTCTTTATGGTTGTTGGCAGAATGCTGGGTGAGTAAAATGAGTGGCTCTAGAAGTCTCCACTGAGGATTGTCAGTCCCTCCTTTTCTGTGGTGTCTTGTGAGGAACTCAAATATCACACAAACATTTTGTCCGAATAGAATGTGGCACGGGATGTGGCAGAGGTTGTACGGTTTGATGTGGGAATACAGAAAAGGACGCTTAGCCCATCATGGGTTCGGAGACGAGCTCCTGGAGGAAAGTGACCGGAACTGGGCCATGAAGGTTGAGTTAGCTTTTGCTGGAATTAAGGAGAAAGGGTGCTCTGTGCAGAAGAAAAGGAGTAATTCCCTGCCCCTACCCTATAAATCCTGGGCTGCAAGTGAGTGGTCTACTTTAAAAAACTTTTTTTAAACTTGTTTTTTAGAGTGGGGGGAAGGGAGTGAGAAAGAGAGGGAAACATAGGTATGTGGTTGCCTCTCGTGCGTCCCCTACTGGGGGCCTGGCCTGCAACCCATGCATGTGTCCTGACTGGGAATCGAAGCAGCGACCTTTGCAGTGCTGGTTTGCAGGCCAGCACTCAGTCCACTGAGCCACACCAGCCAGGTGGTGAATTGTCATCTTTAAAGGAAGCAGCCAGGAAAACCAATGAGAGGTGTGGGAGCTGTTGAAAACTGCAGCTATCATTCCTGCCCAAAGTGGCAGCTACAACCTGCCAGGCACATGTGTGGGATGAAGATGGTCAGTTCTTCCAGTTTTTAAAGAGAAGCCAGAAAGGCAGGTATTTATGGGAAACCTTCCATTTTTCAAACTTCATTACTTCAGCAAGTAATGGAAAATATTTAAAAATGTGTGGTCCGGGTCCTGGAAGGGTAGTTCATTTGGTTAGAACATCGTGCCAATGTGCCAAGGTTCAGTCCCTGGTCAGGGCACATGCAAGAATCAACCAGTGAATGCATAAATAAGTGGAACAAAAAATCTCTCTCTCTCACTCTCAAAAAAAAAAAAAAAAGAAAAATCAATAAATTAAAAAAAAACAAACAAACTGGTAGCCTAAATAAGACACATTATCAGGCCAGAAGTGACCACCTAGGGGTTACCAGTTCCCAGATTCAGTCATTACACAGGTGTCACTTCAGTGGAAGTGGCAGGAGATGATCAGGAAAGACTGGCAGGAACCTTACTGCAACATATAGAATGTGATCAGAAGTTTCCATTGGAGGTACCATACATGACTGGCAGGTCAGTGGAGAACTGTCATTTGAGGGAGAAAATACTGGAGGCTGTTGCAGTGTTTTGGCAAAAGATGCACAGGGTCTAAACCAGAGATAGGTAGGGTAGGTGTGGAGGACACAGATTTGAGAGATGCTTAAAAAGAAAGCATATAGGATGTGGTGATTAATTGGATATTCTGAGTTAAAGAGAAGAGGAATCAAGGCTGCATCTTAAGTGGTTGGTGTGGATTACCAGGACTATCAGAGTGTATAAAGTGAATTAGAAAACTCACTTGGAGGAACTTCGGAGCTGGGAACAGAACCAGAATGAAAATTGCTGCTCTTTTGGATATATTGATTTTCAGGTGCCTCTGGGAAATCAAAAATCTTATATCAAGTAGGTGATACAGGAAACAAATGTAAAGTTTTAGCAGGTGCTAGGTTTTCATTGGGGAGTCATGTGTAAACAAGTTGGTCATTAAAACCATGGTGAGCTTGAAGAGCGAGAAGGAGAAAGCAACCCATAAGGAAGCCTAAGAAAGAAGAAGCAGTGATGCAGGAGTAAAACATGTTCCGGAAGTGGTCAGCAGCATCACTTAAAACAGAGAGGATCCTGTGTCAAGGGCTTGAACAAAAAGTGAGCTCAGGGGAAACAGCAAGGTGGGGTAGGTGAGGTCATGCGTATAGAAGGAAGACTGATAGGTGAAGAGGCTGGGTAATGAGAATAATTGCTAGCATTAATAAGTGCTTCCTAGTAAAAGGCATTGTTGTAGTTACTTTTAATTTATTAGTTTGCTTAATCTTCAAAATGACTCATAATCCTTTTTACAGAGGGCAAACTGAGGCAGGGGTAAAGTAACTTACTCACTGATCTCAGGCAGTTGGCCTTCTTTATGCTTAACTACATTTTTTTAAAAAGTACCGTTAATCTACCAGGCACTTCAGCAATAAATAGGCAATAGGGACTCCAGATTAAGAAAGGACATTTAGGATGTGAAGTTAAAGTAAATAAACCAACTACTTTATTTTAAATTAGCATAATCAATTAAAACTAAAACTCAAAAAGTAATCTTACCACATTCTATTTCTTATGGCCTTGACCCCTTCTGTATGCCCCACCCAACACACACACACACACACACACACCCCTCCTTTATAATAATCATTGACTCCTCTGTTAGGGACTAAAGATGCAGGGAAGGAGAAAGGGCCAAATATGGAGAATACACACCACAACTGACCTAGGATTTTTAGTCAGAGCTGTCTGAATGAAATAGTGCTGCCTTGGTGACAAAATTGGGGGATGATAAGAGTTTAAGAAGACACACTGATTTTTTTTTCAGTTCTTTCCTGGGTACAATGAATTCTAAAGAAATGCGCACACTTTCCACATTCAAGTGAGAAGGTGGTGCTGCCATTCTCAGGAATGAGAGCAGGAGAGGATGGGATCAGCTGCTTCCGGGCCTCTCACCTGTCCCCCAGGGTCTGTGGGGATGGATGCAGAGGAAGGACATGCAGATGCAGACTGCTGCTTGCTGAGAGTGTGCTGCTCCCTGACTCAAATAGCAGATGGAGAGTCACAGGGAAGCAAACGTAGTGAGATCATTCTTCCTTATTAATTAAAATGTCTCATTTACCAGATACATTTTTATCTCCTCTCCTGTTCCCAGTAGTTCCAAAGCACAATGCAACCTACCTCAGACTCAGGGACACCAATCATGTCATTACCCAACTCTGACTTATCTCTTTAACTCTTGTCTTTTTGAAAAAAGATATTTAGAGGACTTTAAAAAAAGAATTAAAATGAGTCCTGGCCAGTGTGGCTCAGTTGGTTAGAGCACTATCTCATAGAACAAAAAGGCTGTGGGTTCGATGTTCCATTAGGACGTGTACCCTGGTTGCAGGTTTGATCCTTGGTTGGGGTATGTATGGGAAGGCAACCAAGTCAGTGTTTCTCTCTGACATCAACGTCTCTCTCTTTCTCTCTCTCTTCCCCTCCCTTCCATCCTTCCCTTCCTTTCTCTCTAAAAGCAATGAAAAACTGTCCTCAGGTGACAATAAAAAAAATTTAAAGAATTAAAATGAGTTATGCTTATTGTATTAAAAATCTCAAGCCATAGTGAAAGATCAAAGAAAAAAGCTACAATCAAATCAACCTTCATACCTGTATCTGGTGAATGTTAATTCAGACATTTTTCTGTACATATATAGTGATAAGAAGTCTAGAAGGAGGAATAAATAAAATACACAGAAATTATTAAGGGACTACAGCATGCACTGCTGTATTTGGCATCTCTAGAACAGTGTCTGGCTCAGGGTAGGTGCTCCGTACATTGTCGGCAAAATTAGATTTGTTAACTCATTGCATTAAGACAGACCACACCCCGTGGGAGACCTCACCAAAGGAAAAGTTATTGTAGAATTTGGGGTAAGGGTGGCATTTTGGTGAATATTAAATAAGGCAGAGTATTGTTAAGCTCAAAGCAAAGTAGGGCTGTGTGTAGAAAGGTCAGCATCGAGTGTTCACTGCAAAGTAGACCTAGGATCCTACTTCTGTGGACACTACAAAGCAAAGAGCTAGGTGGACTGTTGTGTCCAGGAACCCCTGTCTGCAGCTTTGTTCCTGAGTGTAAACTGAGGCTGTGGAAGGAGTCAGGAAATAGAGAGGCAAACTGAAAGATGTTTAGAAGGCAAAATCAATAGAACTTGCTGACATTGGACATGGAATGAAGGAAAACAGATGAAATTTCACTCCTCACTTTATGGCTCCTGTGAGACTAGAAGACCATGACTGTAGCTGATGTGAAATATATATGTAAACAGCAGTTGGATTAGGGAAGCAGGAGAGGGAAGGGACAGGGTGATCATCTCAGCTTTTGACTTGTTGGATTTCTGGTTGCTGAGGGAACTCGACAGTACAGATCCACAGTAAGGAGGAGGAGGTATGAGTATGGAGACACTAGAGGCACGGGTCAGAAATATATGTATAGATGTAGATAGATGCCCAGGAGTCATTCACATTGTTTCAGGGGGTGGCCTGCAAAGTGAGTTGAGTGCTGGGTCAAGAAAAGAGCCTCAGAAAGATTTCCCTACAGTTTCAAGGCCAGCAGGCTGAGCCCAAAGTAAGGCCAGAAGGGGACAGAAGAACTGCCAGGACAGAGAAGCTGGGGAGAGTTCCAAGGAAAAGTGAGTGGTCAGATGTATCACGTGCAGTAAACGGACTCAAGAAGGAAAGAACTAAAGTTGGTTTTCACAACTGCAGGTGGATGGCAACCTTGGCCGGGATACCTACAGAGAAGTGAGTACAGCAGAAGACTGACTTCCATATGTTCAGCCATTAATATTAAGTAAGGTGTGGAAATAGCTCCCTTATAATAAGTGAGGGGAGGAGACAGGGCAATGACTGCTGTGGGAATCGGAGGCAAAGGATGACTTTTAGCAAGAAGATGTCCTAGTGATTCACTTTTCCAACCAGTTAGAGTCAGGACCTGATGAAATTCATTAAAAATATTTTAACTGTGTAAATAGTTTATATTCTTTTTCAGTACTCACTTGAACAGTCCATCTCAATAATTCTTTCCTGCCCCTTCCCTAGCAACATACACACACACACAGAGCGATAGGCACTTGATTCTATTATACTGACCCTGCAGGCCCCTTTTAGGAAGAATTCCTACTGGGACTGTGTCCAGGAGGCGTGGCTCTGGGACTGCACTCACGGCAGTGGGAAGGATCAGATGAACCTTCAGCTCTGAAGGAAGGACTCAGTCGCCCACGTATTTGGTTGGATAGCATAAAAGAAATCCTTCCAGGATAAACATTTAGGAAAGAATGAAGTTTTTAAAAGGTAGAACCAATAATAAATTTTATTTTATTTCCTGCACAGGTGGCAACATCGAACTATGAAGACATCCAAACCACTCAGGCCAGCAACACCAGGGGAAGCTGATGGGTCACGTGAGATCCCATCTCCATCAGGTCACGGCCCTACTTTTGGATTTCAACCTCTGTGGAAAGTGCAGGCTTCCAAGAGTTCTGTAGGGGCAGAGAAGAAAGGTAAGGCAGTCAATATCTACCTATGTTTATTGTCTGTTGAGTGAATGAATAGCTAGTTTTGAATAGGAAAGCATTCAGACCATAGCCATGCTCTCTGATGGCTAGATCATCCACTCTTCCAGTGGCCTTCTCCACTAGCCAGCACGGCACTGTGCCCACTCCAGGTGGTGCCCCATGCCAAGGACGGTAACACAGTTTCCCTGCTCTACATCATCCCCCACCTGTGTCTCACAGGCAGAGTTCCACACATGAGCCCATGTGATTGGAAAGAACCTGAAAGACTGTGATCTCTGACCTCTTTAGGCCAGTGAGGAACTGCCATAGCAAGAGGCACTAGGCATTGGTACGTGCCAGTTTCTGTACCAAGGGCTGAAGATGGAGCAGAGAACCGTGGAGCTGTTCTCCCCTTTCTCAAAGGGGACTTTCTCCCCTTTAAGAGGGTATAGCTTATAGTCCGGGTGCTCTCAGCAGTGCCCAGGTGCAAGCATGTTCCTTACATCAGAAGTATGTGGGGCAGCTGTTAAAATGCAAAACCCTGACTGTGGCACAGACTTGCTGAGTCAGTTTCCCCAGGGCCTGGAATCAGTATTTTAAGGCCCATGGCTCACTTATGTGCAACGTATGTGAATGTATGTGCAACAAAAGTTGACATACATTCACCCGATAACCATGGTATTCACCCACATCTTCCAAATGATTTCAAGTGATTAAATGAGGTCCAACATAGATAGAGTGCAAAGGTGCATTTTGTTGTATTTTAATTCTGAGAAAACTGGTGTTCCAGATGAATAGTATGTGTGACTTTATAGTTACCAGAACTTACTATCGTTCAAGCTTACAAGAGTAGTGCTGTGTTAAAGATCATTCTGCGATGATGGAAATGCTACCTTTGCCCACCTATATGAAGTCACATGTAGTTGAACATTTGAATTGTGGCTAGTGTGGCTGAGGAAAAAGATTTTTTTCATTTTAATTAATTTAAATTTAAATAGCCATTGTGGCTAGGGGCTACCTATGTATTGGACAATGCAACTCTGAATTTAAAAAGGATTTTAGTGCATAGCAATGGGCATGGGCACATAAACCTCTTACTCTGGAATTCTGCACATCCAGGCAGTTCACCACTTCAGTACTCGTGGCCTCCTTACTGTCTGCCCATACAAGCAGACTTCCGTATGTTCTGGGATTATATTGTTCCGTCATTAATTCATCTTGTCCATTAGTCACTTCCTGGGGACCACAGCCCACTTCTCATTTTGTACCCACCATCCAGAGCCCGGCCCATATTTGCTTTGTAGCTCCCCCCATGCTGTTCCTCCTACTCACTCGAAGTCGAGCATTGTTTCAGGTTAGCCACAGCCGTGACATACTCTGCTCCTAAGTATGATTCGTACGTTGTTCTGTCATGAAGTTCGGCCAGACATTTTGTATCATCCCTGAACAGAAGGTCCTTGGTTTTAGATTGGAACATACAAAAGTCGTCCAAGCAGGCAGTTCCATTTTTTCCAAAGATGGCCTGTCAAATGAATAGAAAGTGCATGAGGACCTGTGGTAGTGAGCTGCTAGGAACACATGGTTGAGATGGAGGAGGATGAAAGCTGGGAAATGGCTTTGGAAAGAAAGGGAGGTTACAGAGGATGCCTCAGGGTCTTCCCCTCCCTCACCTGGTGTTCACCCATTTTTGGCCCTGGTTCCATGCTTTCACGAAGGACTATTTGCTCTGTGAAGTCCCTCCTCCCACCCAGCCACTCACTCCTGCTTTCTCTGGTCTCTTCACTTCCTTGGCCAGGACCTTGGGGGCTGCTTCCAGGAAATGAAAGGACAGAAACTTATTCCCTTCTAAGTGTTATTGTCAGAGAAGGTATTAAACATGAACCACTCAATGAGGAGTGGTACAGGTGGTTGTTGCAAGGTCATGTTTGACTACATCTTTGATCCTATCTTGGGCAAGAGGCTTGATCACTCCAGGCTTCCTAAGGTTATAAGTAAAATAATGATTACAAAAAGTATATCATTCCACCTAGCACCTAGTAAGTATTTATTAAATCTGAATTATTATTATCATTTACCATAAAAGGACTCACAGAGATATGCTAACTTAATTTTAAAAAGAGAAAACTAATGGTGAATCAATAGGCAGAAAGCTATCATTGAGGGGAAGGTGCTATGTGAGTTGAAGAGCCTTTTAGATTAGAATACTTAGACAGCCCCTCTCCCCACCAAGGCTGGCTCTGTGAGGGTAGGGGCTTTGGGTTGTCTGGATACTGAAGTGAGTCTCAGTCTGTGTAAGCAAGGGAAACGCAGGTTTTCATTTCATGACCTGTGTCAAGGAAGTCTGGGAAACAGAATCAGTCTCCTTCACTTAAAAAAAATATAGATGTGCATAAAATAAAAGTACCACAGAGCAAGGTTAAGGGCAAGCAAGAAGGCAGACGTGAGGACATGCAGATCAGATGGGTGATTATCTCCAGTGACCAAGAGAGCCAGGCCTGGGAGATCCAGTTCCACAATCCATACCCTCCCAATTCTAGTTTCAAGAAGGAGAATGCTGGAATGTGGGCTGCATGTAGCTGTGAGTTCCCACCAAATAACCACCCAGAAACAAAGGGCGGGAGGCCCTGGCTGGTTCATACCTGCTGGCTTAGTAACACCTGGCGAACACAAGCTGCCTTATCTTCCCTCGAGACAACACCATGATTTGGGGATCGGGCTAGGTGGCAGCTCTCAGCCTCGGTCACAGCCTTCCTGGTGCCATCAGTGCACAGCAGCTCGAAGTCTTCCTGCTTTAGATTCTTAGCCCAGGCATCGGGATTCCTTCCTGGAGATAGAGAGAGAGAGAAAGCAGGTCAGCCACAGCTGATGGCTTTGGTCAAGACACCCTCTCTGGGGGGCTACGACAGACCCATCAGTGTGTGGAGGGCCTGAATCCAGTGACCAGCAGAAGTACACACACTGAGGTTGCAGTGGTGTGGAGAGGAAGAGGCTAGAGTTAGCAGGAATTCCTAGTGCCCACCTTTTCCAGCCTGCCCTACCCAGCCAGAGAAGAGTGGACTATATTCTATGGATGCCATTTAAAAAGTTATTTCTACTAAATTCTAAAGCATCTGGACCTCTTACTCAAGCATAGAAAGAACACGACCCTCAACTAGTTGACAATCTCTGTGCTCTATCTTGTTGTACCAACAAGCAGAAGAACTTTGCCAGAAGCCTTTTCAGAAACTGCAGCAGTGTTTTAAGTCCGACTCACTCATACTGGCTCTACTTGAAAATATGCACAGTCCTCTGTGCACACAGGTCCTGTCCTGTCCTCAGTCCTTTGCTTCATCTTCTCCGGATCCTCTCTAGAAAAGAAAACTCACCCATTCTCAGGATTTTGGCTTTTTCTTCCAGAGGCAAACATCAAATATGTTTTCCCAGTTTATACTTCTCTCCAAAAATGCAGTGTTGCAATATTTTTCCTAATTTAATTTTCAGTTAGCTTTCTTCACTTAATGAAGAAAACTCATGAACAACTAATACATAAATTCACCAGTATAAAATTTTACATTACTTATATATAAAGTTAAAATACCTGTTTCCTACACTCCCCAAGTGTACATTTTTAGTTTTAATAGAAAATTCCAAATTTCCTGCCTCTCCCTGCCTAGTAACTGCACACATCTGCGCTCACCTTCTCATAGTTCTCCTTTCATTTCTTACCAGTACCTCCAACTCAACACCTTCCAAATAAAACCCATCATTGTTCTCTCCAAACCCATCTATTCTACATGTAATTTAAGCATTTATGTAATACTGTGTTCTCAGCTCTCTGCAAGACACAGTCTTATTAGAGAGGGGAAAATAGCACACACGCCAAAAACAAAACTTCAGGGCACAGATGATAATAATAACATTTTCCATCTTGTGGAACACACTCTAAATGCTGTGTGAGCTCAGAACTGAGACAGTGAGTATGTTAATTAGGGGAAGCTAGCTGGAGGAGGCAAGGTTTTACATGTGTCCTGTAACATGTGTAGGATTGAGAGGAGGAGAAAGGAATGCTTCTCAGGGGGGTGAGGGAGGGCACTGGGAAGACTCAGAGTCAGGTATGAACCTGGTGCTTCCAAAGGGTGAAAGGAGAATGGCCTCACTGGGACAGAGTCTTGGGCGGTGGAGCTGAACTGGTGAGGCACGCCCAGGCACTACAGGCCTTGAGTGTGGGAGGGAGTGTGGCACTTGGCAGGAGGGAAAGTAGGTCTACGAGGATTTATGAATGGAAGTCAATGTTAATGTATGAGGTAGAGCCTGGAACAGGACAGTTAAGAATAATGAGATGGGAGGAGCTTCAGTCTGGGTTAGGAGGGTAGCAGTGGGCATCTAGAAATGCATGATAAAACTATTCTTTTCAGTAATAGTAATCCTCGATTTTGTATAAAAGTAATTTGTAAAATGCTACATAGTTTAAGGAAGAAAATTCGGAAGCACTTATAATCCCACTGCAGTCACTTTCAAGATTGGTACATTTTTTTCTAGTCTTTTCTCAACACACAAACATGTAATATGCAGATGTATCTAAATAATTAGATCATACAGTCCACGTGCTTTTGTATCCTGATTCTTCTGTATCACAACATACTAAAGAATTAATAAAGACACATTCTGAAGAAACAAAAAATGTCCTGCTGACTGAGGAACTGATCTAGGCTTGACTGACAGGGCACGTAGTAAAGTCTTTGACGGGGACAGAGGCCATGGGAAGAGGACTGGATTTTGAGAGAATACAAGGGGCTTAGATTTACACAGGTCGGCGTTGCTGTGCCGGTGTAGTTTGCACATAAAAATGACCACGTGGCAAATAGAGATCCTGGGATGCTTTTGGACGGAAGGTTAGGCGTCCTTTCCAAATTCCCCTCAGTAGGTCTGGCTTTTAGGGTCACTGCAAACAATGGGGAGTTGGAGCCTAGAGGAGGGAGCTCTACTCAGAAGAATACAAAAAGAAATCAAGAAGTGACAAAGAGACAGTCTTAGAGTAACACTCAACACAGGAAAAAGGACTGCCCTTGAAGAAAAAAGCAAAAATAATAGGAGGGAAAGAAGAAAAATTAGCCAAGCCAATATTCCTTCAAGTAAGAATTTAGCAACTCCTATATGCCACATACTATAGTTCATGTTGAGATACAAAAAGAGGAAGAAAGAGCTCAAAGAGTTCCTGTGGCCACAGTTTATTATAGAATGTGATAAACTGAATAATACTAGCAATATGGACAAAGGATTCTGTTGTCGATGTGCGTGTGCCATCAGGGAAGGGGAAGGCTTCTTGGGCAAGTTGGTGCCACACTAGTTCATTCTAGATGAGTCACAGGCAAGATTTGAGATGAAGGGGCGTGGGGAAAGGAAGGAGATAGCAGCTGAGTGGTCTGTAGTGCATTCGATAAGCAGTAATACTGAGCAGGCAGATGAAGTACTCATCATTCTTACCAACTTTTTAAAAACCCTGTTCTGTTTTTTAATGTCAATATCTGCCCACTAGTTTTAGTATCCAATAATGATTCTTGACTGAATAAATTATTACTGTATTGAGTGCCAAGTGATAGTTTTTTTAACTCTATAATTATTTCTACATTGATTAGCATTATAAGGAACAAGGAAGATTTATCTTTTTACTTTCATTTGTTCAATCAGGATGGACTCATGTATTCTTATTTTATCCAGTGGGTTATTATTTATTATTATTATTATTATTATTATTATTATTACTATTTCTTTTAATGTTCAGAATATCCCAGATTTGGCCAGTGGGAGGTCCTTCAAAATGTTTCCTGTGTGTTTCCATATTGCATGACTCTGAGCACTTCACTGTGATGTAACAAGCTCACTTTGTATTTTTCCTGCCCAGCTCTAGAATCGGCTATGGTTATAGGAGCCCTGGTTCCTTTTATTGGAGGCGGTTCTAGATCCAAGATCTTGGTGTTCATTGCTACTAATGTGCCACTGTCTCTAGATTTTTTTCAGTGGACATAGAATATATTATAATATATATTGGACCTAGAAATATGGAAATAATTATAAAGTACCTTTTAGCATTGATTCAGAAAATTGGAATATGGACTGTGGATGTGATGAGTACTGAATCCATGTTAATATAAATATTCTGATCTGGATCATTGTAATGCGGGTATATAAGAGAATATCTTTGTTCTCAAGAAACATGCCCTGCAGTGTTTAGGGGACAGGCAACATAATGCCTGCACCCATGGTAGGGTTCCTGGGAGAGAATTTAGGGCCAGTGGAACCTCACAGTCCTTACCATTCTGCTTACCCATATGAAAACTTCTCTCTTCACTGAATAAAAAGGTTGAGAATCAGAGCTATGGAGCCTGAGAGACCATAACACTTCCACCCAGCCCTGAGCACAAGGGAACCCAGCAACCCCAATTTTTAGGGGCGGAGGAGCACGTGCACATACCCTCAGTGTTCTGCATGACAGTCTGGTCTTTCACAAAGGCCACATCTCCACTCTCAACCAGACACCTACAGAGAGCCAGGTAGGAAGGAAGAAGAGAGGAAGTCAGCAAGATACATCTGTCATTCAGGAGGGCCCCTTTACAGATCCAGGGCCAGCCATCCGATGATATCAGCAATTGTGACTCCCCTTCTATCATTAATCTATTATTACCAGTAATAGATTTATCACTAATGTTACATATATTACTAATGTAAGTAGTAAAGAAAAAGAAAACGAAACCTCTGATTTGGTTTGTAATTATACTAGGGGTGTTAAGCTCATTTTCACCAGGGGCCACATCAGCCTCGCAGTTGCCTTCAAAGGGCCAAATGTAATTTTAGGACTGTGTGAATGTAACTACTCCTTAACAGTTAAGTTAAGTGAGAGCTAGGCTCTGCCACTTGGTAGAAACAAGATGCCAGGCTGGACAAAACAAGGTGGAGGGCTGGATTCAGCCCACAGGCCTTGTGTTCGTCACCTATGAGTTACACAATCTTGATTCTACATACTAAATCTTAAATTTTGGAATAGTTTCTCCAACAGAGAGGGCTACATCATTTTCCTAGTATTAAAACAAACATTAGAGAGTAGTTTTCCAGTGTGGGATAACCTTTCTTTCTTTTTTCCTTTACTACTGAGAAGTTCAGTTGCAATGCTACCATCATTGTGCAAGGTGATGAATTCATGAACTACTAACACAGGTCTGAATGAGAAAGGATAGTTAAAAAGTATAAGGTCATAAGGTGCACAGGTGTCTCTATAAAAATGATAAACATTTCACGGAATAGAGATGTAGTTGGGAATGATGTAGAAATCATGTGCTTTACTTTCGTTTATTTCCAGGTGAGTATGATTGCAGGTTCCCCAAAAATGAATGGAAGAGCACAGGCCAGGCCCCCAACCCCTGTCTTCAGCTGTGTTAGTGTCCCTGCACACTGGTATTTGTAACATTTTGAACCAGATCACTCTTTGTTGTAGGGTGCTGCCATATGCATGCAGGATGTTTAGCAGCCTCTACCAACTAGATGTCAGAAGCAACACCCCAGCCCATTCTAGCCCTATTTGATCATCAAAAACATCTCCAGGCACTGCCAAATGTCCCCAGAGGGCAAACTGCCCTCTCTTGAGAACTTCTAGTTTGCATCATACTGCCAGTCTTTGCTATCATATGACAGCCAGGTCTGGAGACTCTGTGTGAAAGGGTTCTTCATGGGGTTGCTGAATGTGGCACCCTAATACATGCAGGACCAGCAGACTAGAAACAAGAAACTCTCCTGAGTTCCTAAAAAGGAAACTTTTGAGAGCTGGGGGTGTCATTATGTTCCTATCAGTGTTTTAAGACTTACCTGAAAGCCCCTGTATAACCATAGTATCTCTCATTGTTGTTGGCTTGACACTCCTTTCCTGGAACACTTTCTGAGCCAATGCAAAGAGCACAGAGACTGGAAGTTGGCTCATACCCAGGAGCACAGCCTTGACTGAAATACTTATCTGTGCAGAAGGACAAGGGGAAGTCAGCTTTTCCTAATCAAGTCAATATGAATGGTCTTCGTCTGACACATAAAAGGTGTATATGGCCCAAAACAGGTAGAGACCGCCAAGACCTTAAAGAGACCTGAGGATCCCACATACTCGTATTGCCTAGAAAGCCCTATAGCAGGATTGTAGCTATTGACCCAATAGCCATTTCCCCTTGTTCCTTCATAACAAAGCTCTAGTTTTTAAATGTTTTTCTCCATTAATTATTTTATTGATAAATAATTGACATTCAACATTATCAGTTTCAGGTATACAACATAACGACTGTGAATTATTGTGAAATGATCACTACAAATCTAGTTAACATCTGTCACCCTACATAGTTATAAATTCTTTTTCTTTTGATGAGCAATATAAGCTCTCTCTTAGCAACTTTTAAATATGCAACACAGCATTATTAACTTCAGTCACCATGCTGCATATCACCCCATGACTTATTTATTTTATAATTGGAAGTCTGTACCTTTTAATCCCCCTTACCCATGTTGTCCAAACCCCACCCCTGGCCCCGGGCAATGTCTTTTGTGTATCTAATAGCTCAGTTTGGTTTCTTTTTTCTTTTTTTTTTTTTTAGATTCCACATATAAATGAGGTTATATGGTATTTATCTTTCTCTGTCTGACTTATTTCATTTACTATAATGCCCTCAAGGTCAATCCATGTTGTAGCAAAAATGGCAAGATTTCCTTATTTTTTATGGCTGAATAATATTCCAGTGTGTGTATGTGTACGCGTGTATCTCACGTCTTTCTTATCCATTCATCTATTGATAGACACATTGTTTCCACGTGTTGGCTGTTGTAAATAACACTGCAGTGAACATGGGAGTGCATATATCTTTTTGAGTTAGTGTTTTTGCTTGTTTTGGATAATACCCAGTAGTGGAATTGCTGGACCCTATGGTAATTCTATTTTTAATTTTTTTAACACGATCTGGTTTTATTTGGGCAGAAATATGCCCAGTTGACACTTCCAGTTTCTTTTACTGCTGAGTGGACTATGTGCCTAAGTTCTGAGCAGTGAGAAGCTAATTGAAGTAATTGGGTTAGATTTCCTGAATGGCTTCTTCAAGAAGTTAACAGCAGGTGTCATGCACTTTAAGTTGCCCTTACTCCTTGATCCTTGAGGCTTCCTGGATTATGGATGTGATGGCAATTATGGTTGACCTTGAAGCTGGAGGCCTCATGCTCAGAACCATAAAGCAGAAAAAGGGAAGGAGCCTGATTTCTAATGATTATATCAGCATGGACTGCTCACCTCTCCTCTTTTTTAGTAGAGAGAAAGGTAAGCCATTATGTGCAACCAAAAAGAATCATTCTGATTCATCTCTCCAGCCCTCCCATCCCTCTTAGGTATTTTCTTAAGGTCCTCTTTAATCAAATTTTATAGATTCAGGGCCATAGCAGGGTTTTGTACCATACTATTCTCTTTCTAGTACATACCACCCTTTTTCTGCCCTGTCCTGATTATAGTGACCTCCTGGGATTCACTCACCAAATTCGCAGTGGTTGATCTTGTTGTAGAGTAGGCCCATGGGGATGTTCCAGCCAGCGGTTCTATCTACTGCAGTATGGCAGGACTTCTTGCCTTTTAGAGAGTTCCAGGTGAGGTCATCTGATCCTGATGACTTGACCACGGCCACAGCAAAATACCCTACCAGAAAGAGACCAAAAACAGATATATTAACACCTCTAGGTCCTCCAGGGTGTCTCTCTGCAGTCAAATCCTGCCATCTCCCTATGGAAGCAAAATTATTCTGAATCATTCCTGTTGTCTTTGAAAGGGCCCTTCCCAATAACTGAGTAAGGTGAAGTCCAAGACACCCTATCAGGTGGAGATTAATCTGACTGAAAAAATCAAAGTAGTAAGAGTAGAGTAAATCAGCAGAGCAATGGCTGATATATGACCCTTCCCAAAAGCACGAAGGTACTGAAACTGTAAATCAGCAACTCATCCTCCACTGTACAGTATTAGAGGAATGAATATGGAAGAGTACATGTAACTCCAACATTTTATACACCAACAATTTTAGTAAAGAGTAGTATATGAATAATAAACTGCAGGGAATATTCTGGCCAGGTATTTTGTGGTATGAAAAATACAGGTTTGTACCAAAATAAGTATGTAAAGTGGAAACTGTCAAAAGTCAGCTGCCATCTCTAGCAGCAGGTAGTTGCTGATCCTTTAACTTGGGAATAGAACATGAACCCAAGATTTCACTTTCTAACTGAACTCAATAAGTTGTTTATAACAAAAAACAAAGAAGTTATATTATCCATAGAATAAGATTGGGCCTTTCTATGTTCTGCTAATGAGCTTGGCTCCTTGAGTAATAGAAAAAGGCTTGGAGGTTGTATCAGAGGAAGTCACAGGACAGTCTTGCACACAGGTAGCTGGGAAATAACCTGGAGAGGCCTGAGCATAGAGGTTCCGAGACCCAGTGCCCACTGTGGTATGACTTCCTGACTTGCTCCCACCCCATCTCTCCAGATCTACCCCAGCCAGGCCTCTGGGTGAGAGCCAGGTTGGCCTGGGATCTGAGCCCAGCCTGGCTCGGAGACTTGGTAATTTTATACTCCTAGACATCTGTCTGTGTGAGCCAATCTCCTCCTTCCTGCCAGCCACAAATATGCAAGGCTCCTCACTGGTGCTCTCATCTGACACTGTGCAGGCCTAATGTAATGCAAGGCAGTTGGAACAGTGAGGAGGGTGTGGATTTGCTTACTGGAGATAGGAGCCTAGACAATCCATAAGCTCTCTCAGCTGTTGGTCCTCTTGTGCATTGACAAGACTCACTTTACGGGATTAAATGGGAAATCTTTTGTGCAGGTCATGGCAAGTGTAAAAGAGTAACCATCAATACCAATTACAATCTTTCCATGATTCTTTTGCATTCTAAAAATTGATCTCTTTCATTGCCTTCTACTTTTCATTTTAATTTAAACTTGCCTTCCCCTTTCCCAAAAATCAATGGAATTTATCTTAAACTCATGAGATTATCAATCCCAACTCACCTTTTTCTGGTGTTTTCTCACAATTCTTGTCATAAGTTTCTGGAGAAGAGAAAATTAAGGAGTCATTAAATATTCATTTATTGATTAAAAATCATGCCTTTCTCATGTTGTAGATCAGAATAAAAAGAGCCAGGAAAACTACATATCACAAATCCCCCAAAAGCTCAGGCTCTCTTGATTGTGGAAATTCACTTTAACTAACTGGCCTATGGAATACAGCCCAATATTATGAATTTCAAGTTTCCTGCTCTGTATGTTCTGGGGTCAGTCCCCATCTACTACACTTGAATCCCTGCATCAGGGCGATAGCAGAAGTGTGAGTTTTGTAAGCAAGAAGATCTGCCAGAAATCCCAAGTGAGAATCCCAACCGCCTTCTGCATTGGAGCCTGTTGTAGCTAGAACTTCACAGTGCAAAGCCTCCATTTCCCCTGGTGGACGGTATGATGAAAGATCTATCCTTCAAGATAACTGGGGATTAGAGATTAGAGATCCCAGAGCCTGGGAAATAGGAGGTGCGCAGTAAGAAAGAGCTTTATAGTCCATGTGCTATGAATCAGGCCGTGATATTCCCTTCTCCTTTTTTCATGGCCTAGAGGAAATAAAACACTGAGGGGCAACTCCCCTACTTACTGTAGTTCTCTGCCAGGACAGGCACCAGACCACACTTGCCCGCTATGTAGATGAACCCTCCATCCAAGCTCATGGCATCAGCTTCTCCTTTCTGCAAAGATACAACACAACACAGCAAGTGAAAAGAGGCCATTTACTGTCCCATCTGCTCTTCCAGGTGTTTCCTTGAAGCAGCCTTCCCAGCCTAGGTCATGAATGACCCAGGAGACAGCCATTGCTAATTCTGGATCTCCAAAGGATCGGCCAGGTACACCCAGCACAGAAAATAAAATGTACTGTCATTTTCACCCAAACCATCATGAATGGGTGATCAATTCTGGGTGCCTTGCTTAGTTTCTTCAGCGGCAAAGACCCACATTCAGTCTGCCTGTTCTATAATAGAGACAGACTATCTCAGAGACATTCCCACAACAGCCTTCTGACACCAAGAATTCTTCTTTGTAAGACAGATGAGTGGAGCCCAGCCCCAAGGAGCCCATCAGATCCATAAGCTCAAAAGTACTGACGCTCCTATAGGGCTGGGCTCCTACAGTGAGGTCAAGGTTCTTAACTCATTTTTCCCAGTGAGTTAGCTGCCCACATATCTGAATATTCCTGGGTTTTCATCTCATTCCCAGGAATACTTCCTCAGCCTTAGGGACAGGTAGGCAGCAGTGCAGGGACACTGCCCTATGGAGATGTGAGTGACATACCATAATCTTGGCAATGCAGTCTTCAGTGAACTCTGCAACTTCGCAATTTACTTTCCCATTACTGTTTATACTCCACTCATCACATTTGGCCTTCTCATGGTGACCTACTGCACACCACTTCACACTCTGGCACTCATTTTGGGGCACAAGTGGGCCTAGGGCATAAGAAAGAGAATGGGGGTTTAGAAAGACACCAGAAGCTGCCTGCTGGTTATAAATGCTACTAACTGTATTCATGAAAAAAATGCTGGGATTTGTCCAAACAGGTCCCATTCAAGGAATTAATCATCTTAGAAAGCAAAGGCAATTAAGTCTTGGTTGACTGCTTATCATGCTCCCAACTACTGGGCACTCTATCGCTCCAGGCTAGTTTTCTTTTTCTCTTCTTTTTGAGATAACACTTCACCACTTGAGCTGTTCTTCTTTATTTTTCATTGATTATTTTCTCTTCTCTCAAGCTGTTCTTCTTTATTTTTCATTGATTATTTTCTGTTCCCTATAGAGAACATAAGCTTAGCCAGGCAAGGGCCATCCCTATCTTTTTCTCCATAGCACCCTCATTGTTGAGGACAGGGCCTGGCCCATAGTCGGTGCAATAAATGTCCACTGAATAAATGGACACCTGCTTACCTTTCAGACTCAGCTCAAGAGTCACTTCCTCAGGAAAGCCTTACCTTAACCCCAGGACATGTTTTTGTTTCCGTGATTTCATAGGACCATGATATTTTGTTCTGTGTTTTTTTTAGCTTCTTCTGAGTAAATCTCTCATTTTTAATCAACCGTTCAATAGAATGACTATCCATTGAACATTTGTCTTCTCCACTGGTGAAAAAGTTCCATGGTAGCAGAATCTAATATATATTTGTCTCACCATTATATACACAGCATCTAGCACAACTTATTGCCAGATAATAAATGTCTATTGAATAAGTAAATGATCAAACAAATCTCCAGTGATCCAAGGAAATTTAAGAACGGGATGGACCTGTCTAGAGCTCCAGCCTCACTAGGCCACATGTTGACCATGTACTGGCTGCAGATATACAATTAATTTCATTCTCTTTGACTTTGTGCCAGGCTAATTGACTTCATAGAGTAGTTGGGGCAGCCCTGATTTATACAAGGGAAATAATATCATTTTAAGAATGAATTTCCTTTAATGCCCTTTGGTGATGTCCACGCCCATCTCATGATAATGAGTGCCATTTAGCATCTGTCCAATGGTAGAACAGATAACATGAGGGCAGGTTTCCAAGCTCCTGTCCTCACCATGTTTCTAAGCTAAGATCACACGATCCTTCCCAAGTACTCACATGTCTTATCCCTCAAGTTCTCAAGAGCAGTGGCATACTCATATCCCAGGTACATCTTGGCGTCCATCTTAGGGGGGATCTTTAAAAACCCCTGGGCAGTGTCCTTAAACAGCAGGTCTTTCCCATGAACGGAGCTGAAGAGTTGGAAGGCTTCAGATTTACCTCTGCCAAAATGTTCCTGTGTATAGTAAAAAAAAAAAGACAGTGAGTGGCTACAGTGACAAAGTAGGTTGTGAAGAAAAATTAAAATCCCAGAAAACTAAATTAAACTGACATTTTCAAGATGCCAGTGAAGAGGGCAATCAAGCCTGCTCTATACTCCCAGCGCTCCCCTCCCAACCCTATTTCCTTGGATGTTTCTGTGCTTGTCTCCCTGGCTGACAAGCCAGGTTGATGGCTCAATGACTACAAAAAAAGAATTTGTCAGAAGCTGACACTGTGTAGTTGCCACTTAAGCTCTTGGTGGGTGGATGAGAGGGCTGGAGGATAGATAGTTGGCTCCTTTCTGGCATTCCGCTGCTCTGGGGATGCAAAGCTGGTTGTGCCTGCAGCTCCCTTGCAGTCAGGTGGACGGACATCAGGAAACAGATCATTTCCTTCTGGGGAGGTCCTTCTGGGAAGGAATGTTTGCCCTTGTCCTGTAAGGCCCGGTCTCAATGGAAAGAAATGGAATGGAACAACAAAGAACATCTTTACATCATTGATCCAAAATGTAGGGGTCTGGCAGACCACAAAGCAGGACTGGGCTCTGTGCCACTGAGAATTCCTGCCGGGCACTTTCAGGTAAGTGGAAGGTGTGTGGCATAATTCCCACTCTGTCCTGAAAACAGAAGATTCTACAGCGGCAAAAAAGGAACAAAAGAAATGCCCCCAATCCAAGCAAAGGACCACTAAGTAGGAAGGAGGGTGGTGGATTTGGTACCTGGGCCTTGTTGAGAAGCTCCCAGATTAAGTCCTCCTTGCCATCTACACTTCGGGCCACAACGGCATGGGAAGGGACTCTGGCCAGGTGGCACTCCTTGTATCTGTCGACTGGCTTCCGGGTGTTGTCTCTGCAGAGCAGCTCATACTGGTCCCTCTCAGCCTGGTTTGTAATGGTCTCTGGGGAAGGGAAGCCCAGAAGAACCTACTGCAAACAAAGCCGTGAGCTCTAGTCTTCCTCCCCCTCCCTTGTAATCCCATGGCATCATAAAATGTACAAGCTGAGAAGCCTAGAGTGAACACCGAGGGCCAGAGAATATAAGGAACCTGACTTTCTCAAGATCCCACAGATAGTTACAGGCAAGGAAGCTTCTGATACCCAGTGCAGAGGTAACTGCCCCATATCCCATAATTGGTCTTATCTCAACAGGCCAACTATAGGCCACAGTTGGCCAGGCCTGCCCCCAATCCTTTACTATGGCAACACTTAAAAGGAAGAAGGGTCCCCGTACACCCAAGAGATTGAATGATGGAAAGAGGCCCAGGCGTCAAGGTGGGAACCCTCCAGCCACATACCTCTGCACAGATAGAAACCCAAACAGTGATAAATGAGGAACATGCTGTGCTTGTGTCTGACTGCTGAGCAGGAAAAAGAGAAGGCCCACTGCTTGGAGGGGATCTGCAAATTCTTCTATTACCTACCGAATACTGTCAAGTGCTTGACGAAAGCTACCTCCCCAGCATCTTCCATCAGACACCTGTGAGAAGAAATACATTAGGAAGTTTTCTTCAGGACAAATCCCTCTCCTTGGGCTTGAGGGTTTGATCCCACTATCCAGCCCTGGGACAAGGGGAGAGCCTGGTGGAAGCCTCTTTGCCATCGCACAGCAGAGGAAGCACCATGGGGTGTTGATATTACTGATGTCAAAGGGATGAGCTCACAGGAGCTGAAGGTCCCTCACTGTGTGCCCAAAAGCAGTAAAAAGACACTAAAAATATTTTAGAACAGAGAAGAGTTTTCAAATTTCTGAAATGGAGGATAAAAGCAGAGTATCTCCTGATGGAGAAGTACCCTCAGCTGGCTATAAAACTGTAGTATATAACCAAGGGAAAGGAAGGAGCAAGGAAGAAGCCATGTGAGCTATCTGCATAGAGACCAGGAGGGGAGGCAGGAGAGAGGCCAGTACATTGAGCAAGGTACTGCTGCAGTAGAAAACGAAAGGTCACTGAAGAATGGCCCAGACACTGGGGACATGCTTGTCCCCTCAGGTTCTGCCCAGTCCAGTGAGAAGACACACTGGCCAGATTCAAGGACTCTGGGGAAATGCAAAAGTCCCCAGGAAAGGGGAGTCTTTGATAAAGGGCCTCCTTATCAATGTCACAAGACAGGAGCATGCACGGGCCTGGCTGGGGAGACTCCCAGTGGATCTGAGTCACTGTGAAGGGATTAGGCCTCCTGAACACTCCTGTTGCAAGCTGGGCTCTGCAGTGGTCTAGGAGGGTTTCCCAGCCTGAGGACATTGAACACTTTGACTGCTATGAACCAGCAGCCAGTCTCACTCACTTGAGGGCACCCGAGTAGCCAAAGTATGGTTCGTGGTTAGAGCAGGCACACTTGTTGGTCCCTTTTCCCGCACACAGTTGACACAGTTTGGGGAAGGCTGTCCCATCCGCACAGGGAACACAGCTGCCCGCGAAGAAATTGCCCACTGCTGCTCAACACAAAGATGTGGAACAAAGGACATGAGCCAGCCTGGCCAGGGACAGTTACAGCTCCCAGCCCAGGCTCATGAGTGAACACAGACAACCAGAGCAAAACCAACATCCCATCCCTCTTCAACATCAGGGTTTTAAAAAGGACCAGGTTAACGCTTGCCCTCCTCCAGAATTAGAACTCTGCCTGCCACCAACAAAGGCCTGTCTCGGGTCACTGTCAGCCCCTCTCTGCCTTGTCAGATTGGAACAATGCAGACAGAGGTCTCCTCTGGAAGCCATGCCCAGGAGATGCCAGACCCACCTGGATAGGTGCATGCCTGCATAGCCAGCAGATGGCCACCAGAGAAAACTCCAGGAGTGGGAGACACATGAGGCAGAAAAAAGAAAGCACCCCAGGGAAGGGGACAGTAGGGCCCAGTGACCTTGGACCTGCCTGAACCTTCTGACAGGCCCAATGCCCTCACCCCCCACTCCTCCAAACATTCTCTGCTGGGGTGTTGAGAGCTGAGACTCAGCTGACAGCTCCCAAGGGCTGCTGGTGGATCAAACAGGCCAGTCTAAAGCTGGTTAACCTCCCACCTCCAACCCAAGAGTCATCACACATGACTCCTGATTATGTCTGAGTGACCTCAGGGTGGCCTATATGGGCACGTACAGAATGGATGTCTGCCTGAGGGCCCTCGCCCTCCTTTCCGCTTACCTTTCTGAAGAGAATCACATGGCTCAGGCAGTTCCGAATAGAGTAAGCCTATGGGGACAACCCACCCAGCAGACCTGCCAAGGCCTGTGTGGCAAGACTTTCTGCCTTTGAGCTGGTTCAGCTGGAAGCCACTCCCCTTCTTCACCACGGCCACAGCATAATAGCTGGTTTGTGGATCTGCAGAGACAGTGTGAATGGAAGACCTGCAACCTGGGCCTCGGAAACACTTCTCATCACTGCTGGGCTCCTGACTAGGGAAGAGGAACCACCAGCCACACTCATATTGGGCTGGGTGGTAAAGAGGGAGGGGCCACAATCAGTTCCTAGGCTTGAGGGAAAGAAAGGATTACAGAGGGGACATTTGTAATAACCCTCCAGGCAAACACAGGCAAGACGCCACGTGCACATGTGCCCCCAATGATTTTTCCTACCCTGGCCCTGCAGGTTGTCTGACTGCTCTGCCTACACCTACCAACCCAAGCCTACCAGGAGACTGGAGCTTGGCATGGAGGCCACATTCCTGACTCCAACTATTTCCTGTCCCCTGACACAGGCACACGGATGGAGAGGTTACCCTCAGAAAAGTCACAAGGCTGTTGGGACTCCATGTGTGTGCTCCAGTGTGGTCTCTCCTCTGAGTGAGGCACCCGTGGTTCTTGGAGACTTCTGTACACAGCTCTAAACCCTAATGGTTCAGGTCAGGCTGTACCCAGGCTGCTCTGTTTCTCCAGGGAGCACATTTCCTGGCCCAGGAGGTCAATGTCAGCTGCACCAGCCCTCAACCAGCCCAAAGGCACAGAGGCCTCGAGCTGTGCCTGTGGTGACCAGTAAAGCCCCTCAGTGCTCACTCACTCTTCCATCACCCCCCTGAACAAGACAAGACTCTACCAGGAGAGAACAAACATCTCTCAGGGGAGAACAGTGGCCACAAACCATCTCTGGGGTTCCCGGGGAAAACTTACCGGCTTCTGAGCCATAGAACTCTGCCACTACAGGTTTCAGGTTGTAGGGAGCCAGTCCCGCCTCATTCACCCACCCTGCATCCAGTGTCATAGCATCTGCTTTATTGTCCTGAAAAAAAAAAACAGACCAGACCCCAGTGAAGCCCTCCCTTCCAGGAAAGCCCACCTAAACCCAGGTGAGTGAGGGTGACTGGCAGGGCTTCTTGGATCTGGGGCTGGAAAAACCATCAGCTTGGCCCCATCACAGACTAACTCAAGCTTCATTGGACTCTAGCACCCTGGTGAGGGAACTTGGCCACCATATTCCTATTCCTGCCACATAGAGAAAGGAGGATGTTATTTTTCTTTTCCCTAGTGAGAAATCTGGCTCTTGGCCCAGAAAACCACGTGTGATTTTTTTGGGATCACCTTGAGTTATAGAGGCTTCACCTAGCAGGCCTCATGGGGGAGAGCAGCCTTCCCCACATCAGGCAGGGTGCACAGCCCGTGCACTGCAGGCTCTGAGGGAGGTTGCAGCCAATGACTCGGGTCTGCCTGCCTGGCCATGCTTTTACATGTTTACATTGAGAACTGAGTGCTTTGCTCTGGTGACCTCTTTATCTTGGTCCTTCTACTGAGGCCTCTCAGAAGTCAGTGCTAAGCCCTCCTTCTGGGCCAGTGGGGATTTGATGACACTCTTCTCCACTCTGATTCAGTGCTCAGTAGTGCACCTTCCTGTCCTGGGTCCATATAACTGCAGGAGTCTTTCATTCATGGATTCAGTGTTTCTCTGGGTTTCAACTTCTGGCTTCACTCTACACTAAGTGTGAAATGATATTTACTTCCATCATGGCCCATTGTTCATTTACTCATCTGCTCAGACATGTCACAGCTCACCACTGTCCAAGTCAGCTGTGTTTTACGCATTAAAAAACAGAGACACTTTAAGTCCCTTCTTGAGGCCACATAGTAAGTAATGGAGCTGGGATTCAAATCCAGACAGAATGGGTTTATTTTTTCCATTACCCTGTTACTTGCTGGTTGTTGTTGTTATTTAATTTTCTGCTTCAACTTTAAAATAATAATTCCCTTTAAATGTTAGGCATCTTTTTACCATATCTATAATTTAATTTCTCTTTAAAAAATTTTAATGCTAATCCAAGGATATATTTATTGACTTTAGGGAGATAGAAAGGAAGAATGAGAAACCTTGACATGAGATAGAAATATCGATTGTTTGCCTCCCTTATGCACCCTGACCACAAACAAGGTAGGTGCCCTCATGGGGAATCAAACCCACAACTTTTTGGTGTACAGGACAATGTTCTGGGCTCTAATTTATTTTCTCTTAGAGTGAGAAGCACTGTTTTTTATATGGACTTAATATATTTCTGTTGCCTTTTTTCTTCAAATATCTTTAATCAAAGTGTTTTTTTTTTCTAGAAGCCTTTGTCTGTACTCTATGAATAGTTATAATTGATGAAATCACAAGGCAGCAGCAATAGCTCTGTGGTCTGTGTCATGTTATGTAGGTAGGGGATATGACAATAGTATTCCTAAATGAAACGAGATAATCATGTAAGCCAACCTATGTACTTGTCTAGCTGAAACTTTTCTATTTAATTTTGGCATTGTTTTTATTGTTGTTTTATTATAGTAAAATACATATCATAAAATTTACCATTTAGCCATTATAAGTATATATTTCAATGCCATTAAATACTTTTACTTTCATTCCACAACTAGACACCAGATATGGAACAATCTTTGAGACTTTCTTGGCATCACAAGAAAATCTTCAGAGACTCTGTCCATTCACCACACATATTGTAAAATCAAAGTAAATAAACAAATAAACATGATCTTTTCCTAGGGCAGTGAGGTTGGGTCTTTCTTGGACAAGACACCAGGATCCCAGGCAGGAATCACTGGAGCCTCGGGGACCCAGGAACCAAGGAGCCAACACCTGATTCAGTGGGAATTCAGTGGGAATCCACTGGAGCAGCAGGGAGTCTAAGGGGAACCTGAACCAACAGAGGGGGTGGGGTATTAAAATCAAACATGACCTAGGTGCAGATAACTAAATCCAGAAGACAGCAAGGCACAATGCACGGTCATCAACAAGAAGAACAGGTTTGGGCCCTTAAGAGGTATAGAGGTTAGAACTGTCAGATGCAGTGGAGAAGGGCTACCTATGAGGCATTTAATTTTATATACACAATAAAGGCTACAATCACAGTCCTCAGCCTGTGGAAAGGAAACTACAGAAATAAAAAGGGAAAAAAACAAATTGGTGCTTCTAGACACAAAAACATAATTGTCAAAGTCAAAAGTAAATGAATGGGAAACAAGTTGATTAAACATGTTTAAAGTTAAAATTAGTAAACTGGAGGCTTTATCTAAAGAATTTATGCTGGATGCTGCCAAAAAGAGATGCTGATGATGGAAATTATTTTTAAAGGATTAAAAAGATAGGGAGGCTAGATTAAAGAAGGCCTAACAAATGGAGAGATTGAAGAAAAAGCAGCATTTAAAGAGATAATGGTTCAAAATTTCTCAGAACTGATGAAAAACATGACTCCATAGATCCAATCACCCCCAAACAGGGTAAGTACCAAGATTTCCACGACTAGAAATATCGTAGTGAATCTGTAGAACATCGCAGACTAAGGGAATGAAACCTCAAAACTACCCAGAGATGATCACTGAAGGAATGACGGGACAACACAAGACGCCTCAGCGATCACAGTGGAAATAAGGAGCAGCAGAATATTTTTAAACACTGTGAAAATGTCAAACTACAATTATGTATTCAGCAATATTATCATTCAAGAATATATAGAGAACTCATAAAAACTCAACAACAGAAAACCAAACAACCAATTCAAAAATGGGCAAAGGACTTGAATAAACTTTTCTTCAAAGAATTTTTATGAATGGCCAAAAAGCACACGAAAAGATGCTCAAGATCACTAACATTACAGAAATGATAGTCAGATCTATAACACAAAAAGCAAGCAACTGGGAGAGTCTAATGCCAAGAGATTCATTCTGAAGGGTCACCAAAAAAATATATTTCAAGAAGAAAACATGTTCAGAAGGGTGGTCTGAAATATGAAAAATAATGGTGAATAAATTTAATGGCAAAAATGTAGGTTATTCCAAATAGTCTCTCTCTCCTTCTTCCCTTCCTCCCTCCCTCTTTTTGAGTTTTTGGATGTGTGTACGCACACACATATACACTGACACACAAACACAGACACATATATTTATATTTAGCCTTCATCAGTGTAGCTCAGTTGGGTGGGCATCATCCTGAAAACTGGAAGGTCACTGGTTTAATTCCCAGTCTGGGCCCATGCTTGGATTGCGGGTTTAGTCCCTGGTCTGGGTGTGTATGAGATGTTTCTCTCTCGCATCAATATTTCGCTCCCTCTCTTTCTCCCTCCCATCCCCGCTCTCTAAAAATAAGTTAATTAAAATATTTAAATATATACTTATATTAATATATAGTGTCTGCAAATACATGAAGTAACTACATTGTGGGCTTAATAAAGATAGATATAAAATATTACGTAGTAATATCTGAAGAGGGAAGTCTGAGCTATTGTAGAATTTTTTCATTGTTTGGCAAGGCTGGTGGGGGAAGGGGGGTCAGTTCAATTTACTGTAACACTTTAGAAACCTAAAAATATGTAATAAAAATTTAGGGGAAATAATTAAAGAATATAAACTATTTAAATTCACCATTAGTGGGGGAAGGGTAAGTAAAATAAAAGGAAAGCAATGCAAATGAACATACATGTACAAACTAAATTTTTAAAAATCAGAAAAAGAATGACTAGGAATTAGGGGGAAAGCAGGACTAAGAAATTAAAAAGTAATGTGTCAGAAATAAGTCCAAATTTATTAATAATAACAATTATCATCTAATTTACCATATAAAACAAGTGAAATTATCAGATGACCTTAACAAAATCCAGCAATACATAGTTTCAAGAGACACACCTGAAGCTAAGCTCACAGAAAGTTGAAAATAAAGGAATGGAAAAAGGTACAGGAGGATGCGGAACGAAAGAAAGCTGATGTGATGTGTGTGTATCAGCATTTAGTCAAAAAGCACTGCCAGAGATTGAGAAGATTACTTCATAATGATAAATACCAAACTCACCAAGAATGGTACGGATTATCCTCGTTTGCACTGCTAGTGGAAGGGAAATTGAAATAACCATTTTCTATTGCTAAAAAATCTTGTACTTGGCATTGTTTTAAAAGTCTAATACACATCCCATGGCTCAGCAAGTCTGCCCTGTGTATATACTCAAAACAAACTTTTAATTCTTATGTCCCAGGAGATTTGTATAAGAATATCCTTAAGCTCTAATTAGCGTAACAAAAACTGAAAACACTCCAAATGCCTAATGACCAGAAAAGAACAAATAAACTGTGGTATACTAACATAATGGACTATTGTAGAGCTCTGAAAATGAATGAACAATAGTCATATTCAACAACATGGCTGATACTTAGCATAATACTGGAGAGAAAAAAGCAAGTATCTCTAGTAATTTTAAGCTTATTATTTTTCAAGAAGCAAGACTATCATTCATTCACACAAACCTATGTAAGTCTTAAACTGAAATAAGAGGCAAAAAACTCTTAGGACTGTTTGCTCAGGCAGGGGAAACACACAGGCCCTTGTGAGTAGGCCCAGAGGTTACAGCCCCCAAGTGGCGCTGTTCCTGCAGAATCCAGTGCTGCCGCAGAGTAGCCCTATAGACGTGAGCCATTGGCAATAATGAAGTTTTCAGAACTTGTGGTGATTCATGCATGGTATTATTTCGTATTATTAACATTTAAAAATAAGGGAGGCCATGCATACACCAAAGCTGAACTTAGGTCATAATTCAAGGGTTATAATTGAGCCATGTTGGTATCTGAGATCCAATTTAAAAACATAAACAAAACACATGAGTTGTTTGTACTGAATCACTGATTCCTTGAGTTAATCAAGCTTCATCCAGCTGAGTCTACTTGTTGCACATTATGGCTCCTTCTAGTCTCCTCCTTGCTCTGCCCTGCTACCCTGGCTTTCCTGCAGCAACTCAGACAAACCCAGCTCTCCCCATCTCAGGCCCTTTGCACACACTGTTGTTCAATGCCTAGAGGATTGTACCCTAGCCCTTGGCTTGCCCATGCTCATCCCTGGGGTCTCAGCTTCATTGTTCCCACACAGGGACATGTCCCTGACACCCAAAGCTCCAGAATGTCAGAGTGTTCTACTTCCCCCTCATTGTACATCACACAATTTGAAATTGCATGTCTGCTTGTTTGCATGTTTTTCTTCTCTCCAGACTAGACTGTAAGCTCCTCAAGAGTAAGGATCACATTTGTTAAATTCACTGAAGCCCCAATGCCCAGCACAGCATCTGACACAGGTTCAAAGGGGCAGAAACAATGTCGAAGGAGTGAAGATGATTTTGGAAAACCAGTAAACAAAGTGTTCAGCTGTCATCTGCAACCCTGACACTATATTCTTCCTCCTTCTGAACATCATTCACCTACTTCCCATGATGTAGCAAGAACTTCCAAATTATGTTATAGGATCATTGTGATAGCAAACATTCTCATTTTTTCCCTAAATTCAGAGAACATAGTGACTCAAAATAGTCCCCTCTCACAGCACATTGGATTTTTCTGTAAGACTCGTTGAAAGTAGCCGCTCCTATGTCCATTTCTGAAGGGATTTTATTAACAGTGCGGCTTGACTGCCCCACACATCGGCCTCCTGTGTGTGAGTAGAGATTAAAGCAGCACCAGGAGCAAGGGAAAGTATGGATTGTCCTCCACTCCCCTTTAGGCAGCAGCGACTTACTGCGATGGCCTTGATGCAGTCAGTGTGGGAGGTTCTCTTCTCACAGCTGAGAAGAGGACCAGTTTCAGGTTGGAGTTTCTGCATACTGTCACGGAAATCGGAGCACTTACTGGCCTCGTGACTGGAGATGGTGCACCATCTCACAGGTTCCCTGGGGACAGCCAGACACAGCCCTAGGAGAGAAAGGCCAGAAGTCCCTGTTACGGTGGGAGAGACAGCAGTGGCCTATGAAGGGCCTTGAAGGTACATCCCTTGTGTCCTGTCTTCCCTCCCCTTTTGTCCATGAACAATGAAGGGTACAGATTCCACTGCATTCTGAGGTGGGGACAAGAGAAGGGGAGGCAGTTTCTCACTTGTGACTCATTGCTGGCCAGAGAGATGTTGGCCTGACCTTTAGTTGCCGATGGGAGATCACAACCTGCTCCTCTATGTTCTCCATGCCTCTTTCCCTCACTCTCAGGACTGCAGTTCGGCATGGGCCTCAGCCATGTAACAGGGCGTTTTCAGCCACTTTCAGGCACTGGCTGAATGCCACAACTCGGGAAGCCAACAAGGTAGGATTTTTTTAAAGAGGAGGGAACTGTCACAAAGTGATGTTTTACCCAGTGTCACCCAGCCTGTTATTAGTGGCTGAGACTGGCTTCCAAACTGTGGTCACTGCCCAGGGAACCAAAGAAGGTAACATTCTCAGTCAACTACATCTGGTTAGGCAGTGGAGGTAAATGACTGATGCGATCATGAATTTGCCTGTGACACTTGTCTGTTCTTTGTCCCAAGAATAACTAGCAACTCCACATATTCTCAGTAGTTCTCTGTTTCCAGTTCCCCTCAATTTTCGCCAGTCTCTTTGTCTGCAATTAGGAGAATATAAAGACAGCTATGTCTGTATCTACTAAAATCCATGTGGTTGCAGATGTGTCGTCCTTATCATGTGAGCTTTGGCACTGGCCCCAAAGCCCTCTGTTATCTCCACTCTCCACAGATCAACTAACTCAGGGAAGCTGTTGAATATCCACAAAACAAGCAGCAGCAGGGGAGGGCACAGTTCTCCGGAATGCATTAAGAGGGACCACAGGGACCTTACTGCCCCAGTTGCCCTTTATCCCAGCTCTGCCCTGGGAGATCACAGGAGGCACAAGGAATCAGTGGCAGACCCTCCCCAAACCACTCCTCCGGGGGTTCCCATGGTCAGGAATTTGTCTTCAGTCGTGTACTTACTTTGCATAGTCCTATGAGGTCCTTGGGGGGTCGAGGATGGGGAAAGGGTGAGGCAAAGGCAAATCATGTGGGACCAACTTTTCAGGGTAAACATTTTAAGGGACAAATGACTAAATGTGGAAGTCTCTAAAGGTGTGGCAAATGCACCATAAGTGACAGGAAAAAGTTAGAGGACAAAGGGTCCCAAAAATCTCAGGAGGTGATGAAAGTCGGAGAGGCCATCCAGTGACGGGCCCCATGGCAGGGATGTGTGCAGCAAAGTCCACTGGTGCCTTTGCAAACCCCATACTCCAACCCCCCTGGACAGCCATAAGCCATTAGCAGGACATTATCAGCGCCAGTGACTCACAGGAGATGTAAGACTGCTGAAGAGGAGGAGATCAATCCAGGAGGCCACCCTAAACAGTTGCGATTTGACCGAGAGGCCCCAGTGAAGGGATCTGATAAATCATGACGGGAGTGCTCTAATTTATTGTATTCCAATATGACAAGATTTACTGGACAAGGAGGAGCAGCAAGAGGCAAGAGGAGCATGAAAAAGTAACAGGGGCAAGCAAGTTCCAGGAGTTGCGCGGAGCTAACCCGGGCAGTACCAAAGCAGGTGCAGAGGTGCGGCTGGCAAAGAGCTGAGGAAAGGTGCCTGTGCTTCCAGCCAGAGCACGGAGCCCAGCAGGTGGTGTGCCAAGGTCTGGGGTGTAAGGGGCCTTCCCCTCGCCCGCACTTACCCAGGACCGTGCAGGTCAGCAGGGTGGGGATGACGAGCCTCATTCTCAGGGTCTGTGGCAGCGTGCTGCGGAGCAGCAGGCACAAACCGACCGGCTTCTGCGCCGCCTCACAGTGCCCACTCCCCTTTATCCCTGGCGGGGCTGAGCAAACACAACCTTTGACTTCCTGTGTTTGCACAGCCCGCTTGCCCAATCACCCCTCATCCCTCCCCCTTCATTCCTCACCCCCCGCCTGTCACCTCATTTCCCGAGCTCTGGGTCAGACCCGTGGACGGAATACAGCACAAAAGTGCTGATTGGACGGAAGTTAAAGAAAAATCAGTCCCTTGTTAAAATGTGCTCACTCTGTGCCAGGAGCGGAACTGCAGCTGTGAGGGGCCGAGGAGGGGGTCGAGGAACTCTGCTCCCGAGTCCCTTTTTGGCAGAGCTAGACTTGCACCAGTCCTATGTGCTCATACCACACAGGTGGAGGAGGGAACTGTCCTACATCCAGACTAGCACCAAAGAATGACAGGCAGAGACCCTCCTGGGAGAGGATGTCAAAGAAGAAGAAAGCTGGCCTCAAGTCAGAGACACCGGGCGCATCACCCTTCACTTGTCCCCAGGTGTTGGTCCCCTGCTCTTGGGGTCCTAATGGCCTGCCCAACTGAGGAGCTGCTCTCTCCCCATGTGCCCTGCTGAGTTTAGACTCCTGGATTGGAAACCTTCCTTCCCTTCGTGCAGCCTGCTGGACATGTTGGTGTATGGACAGAGTCACCAAAAAGACCAATTCTCTCTCACAAGAAGGTGCCCATGAGAAATGTGGTCAGGACTCTGTGAGACTCAGAACACACTGTTCTCGTTCAGAGCACAAAGAAAGAGGCCCAGGGGAGGTTGTGGCCAGATCTCAATGCCCTGGGTCATCCAGCTAAGTGGTCTCCAAGTGGTTTTTGTTGCACATCCTTATCAGGAGAAAATAGTGAAGTTTCATATTCTACATATGACTTTTTAAACTGATATATTTAAACTAACATACAAACTTTTTAAATTCATAAAAACTAACTTACCCGTTTATAAATTTCTATTCCTTTCATGATTGAAAGGCATTGAGAGGTGGGGATCTGGCTTCATGTAGGGACCTTGAAGGTGGAGGGAAATTCAGGGTCAGAGCTGGCTGAGAGGGCGCTCTGCAGAGTAGGCATGTCCGTGTTCAACTGGTGCCTTCCTTAGGCCTTACAGTGAACTTGCAGAGTCTGCGCAGAAGTGGGAAGGAGAGTTGCTAAATGTTCAGCTAATCCACAAGCTCAGGGAAGCTTTGGTGAAGGCCATGCAAGGTCAATGGACCATGATTCTTCTCTCTGGGTCCCTATTGCACTCATACAAGGAGACTTTCTTGAGGCAGCACCTCCAGTGACAGGCCCACATCGTAGCCTGAGCCCCTCGAAGGGAGCATCATTGGGCCAGGCTGAGCCCTCTCCAGACCAGCCAACCCTGTGCCCTGCCTCAGTGGAGTCCTCTGAGTCCAAGCCCATAGCAGGGGATGAAGGGCAGAGCCCGTGGCATCTGGAAGAAGGTAAGATGAGACATGGGCAGAAGGAGTCCCACATCACTTACTCCTGTGGGCAGGGACTCAGGGCTCTAGTTCTAGCTCAGGGGAAGGACAGGAACAGACCCCCGTGTCTCCCACTCCTTGGAGGCAGGGGTGAGGCTGGCTGTGAGGTGTACATGTGTATATGACCCTGGTTGTATGGCTGTGCCCATGTCCATAATGAGCATGGAGATGTGTGGAGGTAAAGGTTAACATGACAGTGTTTCATATCCTTGATGGCCTGTGACACTCTCCCTTAATTTTCCAGAGACATTCTGGAGTCAGGAAACTCATTGTCCCTCTTTTACCACTTAATGATGGCTAACACTTAGGGCTTTACTACATGCTAACCCTCTGTGGTTGGTGCATTAGAATCCCATTTCACAGATGAGATTAGGAAACTGAGGTTCTGAGAGGTTAGTAACTTGTCCAAGTTAGCTGGTGAATCAGATGCAAAATCAGACAGTCTGGTTCCAGAGTGTACATACCCACTTACCAGGAACACTCTTCTAGGAAACAGGGGCATGTAGAGGCCCTGGAGCTCTTACGAGAAAGAGATAAATAGCACTCCCAGCCCTGCCATTTCTCCACAGACATGCAGCCCTGGTCTGTCTAGTACCCCAACTGCAGAACCTCAGGCTTGCCCCTGCTTATGTTCAGATGGAATGAAAGTATCGTGTTTTCAGCCTGCCATGTGCCAAGCACTGTTCTGGGGCAAGATCTTGTGATCTTGACCAACCACTCGAAGAGATGCAATCAGTACCCCATTGTTTAAATGTGAACACTACAGTAAAATGACAGCCCCTCATTCAGAGAGCTCTGGAACCTGAACTCAAATCTCTTAAGTTTCCCAGCCTTCTGCAGACCACAGCTACCTTCTTGTTATTGATCTTCTCTTTATTTATCCAGAAGAGGAGGGGATAAAGGGAGGAAGGTAGGGAAGAAAGGAAGAAAGAGAGAGGGAAAATGAATATGAGAGACTTTCCAGTTACAGAACAATCCAATTCATGAACTAAATCCTCCATCATAAACTGAATAAAAGTCTTATGTTTCAGTAAGATTGGCTCTCCTGTAGAAAGAGCTGAACGTGGGTGAAGACGTGAAGAGAGGTTGAGTAGCTGACCTAAAGAGGATGGGCAGAAAGGCATTAGTTCTCTGAACCAATATTTGTTGTTTCCAAATGTTGCCTCATTTACAAAGAAACAGAGCAAACAAAGAGCCTCTGTCTGCTTAAACCAGTCCCTCCCCCACCTCCCACTCACTGTACTCTGCCCCACAAACAAGCCCTTCTTCTCTGAAAGACCTTAACCCGTTTCACAGACTGCTGTGCTCACAGACCTATTATCCCCAAGACCTGCAGCTCAGGGAGAGTGTGGTGAGACAGGTGGGAGCGAAGGGCAAAGTCCTTTTAGAAAAATGTCAGGCAATCTGAAGTGCCTCTCTCTTTCTCTCTGTCTCTGTCTTACCGCTCAGAAGCCCCTCGACAATCATTCTCAAGGTTTCCATTCTTTTCCCTGGGGATCTATAAAAGTATCCTTTTCATGAAGAATTGTTCAGGGGCAGAAAGCTTCACTGACAAAAGTCTACTAAACATTTAAGAAAAATTAGAGTCTTGTATTTATCATCCAGGGAGCAGAGGAAGCTGGATTACTCCCTGACTGATTTTTTAAGGCCAGTAAGTATAGTTTGAAAGCAAAAACCATCAAGGATACTATGACAAAGATTTTAAAATTACCTTTTGTTAACATAGATGCAAACATCCTAGCAAAAATTTTAGCAAATTGAATCCAGCAATATCTAAAAGGGTTACTAAATTATTACTGACTTGGGTTTACTCCAGGAATGCAAGTTATTTAAAAATCAATCACTATAATTGATCACATTAACAGAATAAAGGAGAAAAAATATATGACCATATCATCTTTACAGGAACAGCATTTGTAAAATTCAACAACCTTTCATTTTAAAACCTCTTAGCAAACTTGTCCTAGGAAACTTCCTTAATATGACAAAGTATGCATATATGCATGTGTATAGACATGCACCCACACACGTATAAAAGAAATGTTTTTTACACAAAAGAAATCATATGCAGTGTGGAATGGTGGATAAAAACTTTCCCTTTAAAATCATAAAAAAAGATCATAAGGTCTACTATTATTTCTAGTGAACATTTTTACATGCAATCTTTGCCATTATTGGCATGTAAGAAAAATATATAATATGTAAAAGGATTGAAAAGGAAAAAATAAATGTCATTTTCTCAGATGATGTATAACTATACAAGTATAAAGTTCAAAGAAAATGATTAAGTATTAGAAAGATAAATATTAGGCAATATTAGGCTGGATACAAATTAAATGTACAAAATTGTATATTTTTTGTACATACAAAAATTATACATTTTTGTATATACAAAATGAAAAAGACTATGAAAATGCTATTTAAAGTAATATAAAATAACAAATACCTAGGAATTAGCTTATCAAAAGATGTCTAAAATTTGTATATATCAAACTATAAAATATTACTGAGAAAAATAAAAGAAACTTTAAGTTATACCCCCAAATTAAAGGAACTTTAAGTTATACACAAAGCAGAGTGGAGATAGTATAGATGTCAATTCTCCCAAAACAAATGTATAGATGCAATGTATTCCCAAATTCCTAATGAATGTTTTCTATTTTTTTAGTATGATTGACAATATAATTTTAAAGTTCATGTGGAATTTAAAAAGCCCTAAAATAGACATTTGGTTGCTTGTGTAAGTTGTAGCATAGCAAGGTAAGAATAGAATGTATTTGATTTTTCTTACCTTGTCTGCCCAAGTCTGAGCACCAAGATCTATAACCAACTCAGATGTTAATTATCAGTAGTATTACCTAAATGCTCCTATAACCTGATAATGGCTGAGTATATGGAAAGAAAATCGTATACAGTCCACTAAATACTTAGGGACTTGTAGACATATATGTCCACCACAGTTGAGATATAGTCTAGTTCTCAGGTTTATTCCAATTCCTCCATGCTGAGAAGTAAATTAAACTCTTGACTAGCTATGGTTTAAGATCTTTTTCAGATTCTTCTCATCTTCCTCTTCTTTTACATATATATGAAAAAAGTTACATATATATAAAAGTAGAGAAAGAAATGTAACCAACAATCATTCACACCTTACCCAACTTCAACAATTGTCAATATTTTGTCAATCTTTTTTTAAATTTTATTTATTTATTTATTTATTTATTTATTTATTTATTTATTTATTTATAGAGAGAGAGAGGAGAAGGGAAGGAGAAAGAATGGGAGAGAAACATCAATGTGTGGTTGCCTCTCATGTGTCTCCTACTGGGGACCTGGCCTGCAACCCAGGCATGTGCCCTGACTGGGAATCGAACCAGTGACCCTTTGCTTCACAGGCCCATGCTCAATCCACTAAGCTACACCAGCCAGGGCTTTTTTAAAAACTATATATTATTGATTATGCCATTACAGTTGTCCTATTTCCCCCCTTCATTCCCCTCCACACACCCCCTACCATCC